CAGAAGTCTCCTCCTATCCATCTAGGAGCTTCGTTGCTATTCATTAAAACATTACAACACTCATCATTTATGAATGTAGATTTCTTAATTAAGTCTATCTCATTTGTTTGTGGAAAGTAGCTAATAAATTATGTACTGCTACTGTGGAGAAAAGGAACACAAAGTTGTTTGCAGCCCAATCTGAAGTGTTTGTCCACAGGAGTGAGCCTGAATTCTGCGGCTCTTATTCTTTATTGTTAGGACTCTGGTGTTCATGACTCCAAAGACATCACTTGTCTAGTATACTCAGTGTTATAACATGCAAATGAATGGAAAATAAAGAATGTAAAGAGGGTCATTCATGGAGCACTAATGGAACCACAGGCAAGTGTTTAGATGGCCAGAAAACACACTTTTTAGAAGAAGAAAAATGTATGTATGCTCTATTTATTAGAAATACTTCTTCTTAGCTTTATAATTTTACAAATGTTCCCATTTGAAAATGCGTAACTTGGGCAACACTGGGTACATAAGCTCCTGCTTTATAAAAGTTTAAGCACTCAGCTTCTCAGCACAGATTAACTCATGTGATGTTTTCTACATGTTTAAAATATTAACTGCTCTGAATATAGGATTTTGTTAAGAGTTTAATTATTGGGCTGCTGTAGGTTTTTTTAGGCTATACGGCATTATTTATAGAGGCATTCTCTCCTGACGTTTTGCCTGCATCTATGGCAAGCATCCTCAGAGGTAGTGAGGTTTGTTGGAACCAGGAAAATGGGTTTATATATCTGTGGAATGACCAGGGTGGGACAAAGAACTCTTGTCTGCTGGAGCTAGGTATGAATGTTACAACTGACCACCTTGATTAGCATTTGATGGCCTGGCAGTTGTTTGGTGTGGCTTGTTGGTGCCTGGGGCAATCTTTTGTTGAGAGGTGATTAGATATCCTTGATTGTTTCCTCTGTTGTTTTGCTGTTGTAATTTTAGAGTTTTTTTTAATACTGGTAGCCAGATTTTGTTCATTTTCATAGTTTCCTCCTTTCTGTTGAAATTGTCCACATGCTTGTGGATTTCAATGGCTTCCCTGTGTAGTCTGACATGGTGGTTGTTCTGACATGAAAGACACTGCAGACTGATTCAACCAGAGAAGTCAGCCATAGCAGAGCACCTGATGAACCAACCTGGACACAGCATATTGTTTGAGAACACAGAAGTGCTGGACCACTCTAACAACCAAAGCCGTATGCTCTACTTCAAACTCAAGAACGGAAAACGGAATGTTGGCAGGCAGGAAAAGAGATTTAAAGATGGGTTCAAAGCCAATCTTAAAAACTCTGGCATAGACACTGGCCTGTGAGCGCTCCAGCTGCAGGTCAGCTGTGACCAGCAGTGTTGCAGAATTTGAAGAGGCCCCAATGGAGGGCGAAAGGGAGAAACTTGCCAAGAGGAAGGTGGGTCAAGCCAACCGCAACTGGGACTGCCTTCCACCTGGAAACCAATGCCCTCACTGCGGGAGACGATGCAGGTCAGTCCACGCTTTGGTTACATCCCTGCAACGCTCTCTACGTAGGGTTGCCTTTGAAGACTGCCCGGAAGCTCCAACTAATCCAACGTGCAGCAGCCGGAATGCTAACACAAGCAGGGTACAGGGAGCATACTACTCCTCTGTTGCGCCAGCTCCACTGGCTGCCAATTAGCTTCCGAGCACAATTCAAAGTGCTGGTGTTAACCTATAAAGCCCTAAACGACTCCGGCCCAGTTTACCTGTCCGAACGTATTCTCCCCTATGAACCATCTAAGTTGTTAAGATCGTCTGGAGGGGCCCTGCTCTCGGACCCACCGGCCTCTCAGGCGCGTCTGGTGGGGACGAGGGACAGGGCCTTCTCGGTAGTGGCCCCTCGACTCTGGAACTCTCTCCCACTGGAGATCAGAACTGCCCCCTCCATTCTGTCGTTCAGAAAATGGGTGAAAACCTGGCTATGGGGTTTGGCTTTCGACGAGTGAATCAATATTTCTGTGATCAGATAGATGACGATGAATGATGGACAACGATTTCACTATGACGACTGACCATTGTTATTATGTGATTGCATTTTGCTGTTATAACGTTTTAATTGAATATGTTATATGATGTTTTTAATGCTTGTTTTGTGATTTTATTGTTGGAAACCGGCCCGAGTCCCCCGATAGAGGGGAGAAGACCGGTATACAAAACTGCTAAATAAATAAATAAATAAATAATAGGGCTCCATAGTCACCTACAGACCCACCCTGGAAGATTATACTACTTGGACAATGAGGGATCACCTAAGAAGAAGAAGACCATTATACTGTAATATTATTCGTAACATCACATGTCATATAAAATATATAATTATTATATAATTATAATATTATATTGCATTACATTACAATATTATAAATATTATATGTAAATACAATATATTATACAGTATAACATTACATTGTCGAAGGCTTTCATGGCCGGAATCACTGGGTTGTTGTAGGTTTTTTTGGGCTATATGGCCATGTTCTAGAGGCGTTTCTCCTGACATTTCGCCTACATCTATGGCAAGCATCCTCAGAGGTAGTGAGGTCTGTTGGAACTAGGAAAAAGGGTTTATATATCTGTGGAATGACAAAGGACTCTTGTCTGCTGGAGCTAGGTGTGAATGTTTCAACTGACCACCTTGATTAGCATTTGATGGCTTGGAAGTGCCTGGGGGGAATCTTTTGTTGAGAGTGATTTGATGTGCCTGATTGTTTACTCTCTGTTGTTTTGGTGTTGTAATTTTTGAGTTTTTTAATACTGGTAGCCAGATTTTGTTCATTTTAATGGTTTCTTCCTTTCTGTTGAAATTGTCCACATGCTTGTATACCATGCAGCTGTAGACAAGTCTACACAGGGACCACCAAACGCAGCATTGCCCAAACACGAATCAAGGAACATGAAAGGCACTGCAGATTCCTTCAACCAGAGAAGTCAGCCATAGCAGAGCACCTGATGAACCAACCTGGACACAGCATTTTATTTGAGAACACAGAAATGCTGGACCACTCTCACAACCACCATGTCAGACTACTAAGAGAAGCCATTGAAATCCACAAGCATGTGGACAATTTCAACAGAAAGGAGGAAACCATGAAAATGAACAAAATCTGACTACCAGTATGAAAAAAACTCTAAAATTAGGACAGCACAACAGAGAGGAAACCATCAGGGACATCTAATCACCTCTCAACAAAAGATTGCTCCAGGCACTGCCAGGCCATCAAATGCTAATCAAGGTGGTCAGTTGAAACATTCACACCTAGCTCCCGCAGATAAGAGTCCTTTGTCTCACCCTGGTCATTCCACAGATATATAAACCCTTTTTCCTAGTTGCAACAGACCTCACTACCTCTGAGGATGCTTGCCATAGATGCAGGCGAAACGTCAGGAGAAATGCCTCTAGAACATGGCAATATAGCCCGAAAAAAACCTACAACAACCCATAACATTACATTATTAGTGTAGCACTAGCGGTCCCCTACCACGCGTTGCTGTGGCCCAGTCTGTTGATCTGGAAAATAAAGTAATGAGAAAGTGTTGGTTTCTAATATATGTAATTTCTTTATGCTTCTGTGTAAACAGTATTTCTTGTTGTTTCTTTGTCAGTGTTGATGTGGAGAGTGTCTGGTTTGTCCACCCTGGAACATGCAAGATATCATTGTCCTTCTTTAAGGGTCCCTTTCAAATCTATGATACTATATCTGTGTGTGTGCGCGAATCATATCTATCTATCTATCTATCTATTTATCTAATCTATGGCTGGATGGCTCTTTGTCAGGAGGACTTTGATTATGTTTTCTTGCCCTGGTGAAGGGAGTTGGATGGTATGGCCTTAAGTATTTTCTGTTGGTCAGGGGGGTTCTGTGTGGGAAGTTTATTTATTTTATTTATTTTTATTTATTTATACACTTGTATACCGCTAATATCTCAGCCTAAGACGGCGACTCATTGCGGTTTACAGCAGTTAAAAACAATATACAATTTAAAACAGCAGTACAAAAAAGTTCCCCGATTCTGTCATTTGTGGGGTTCAGAATGCTCTTTGATTGTAGGTGAACTGTGAATCCCAGTGACTACAACTCCCAAATGTCAAGTTCTATTTCCCCCAAGGAGCTCCCGGTGGCGCAGTGGGTTAAACCCGTGCCAGCAGGACTGAAGACCGACAGGTTGCAGGTTCGAATCCGGGGAGAGGTAGATGAGCTCCCTCTATCAGCTCCAGCTCTTTATGAGGGGACATGAGAGGAGCCTCCCACAAAGATAATAAAAACACCAAATCATCCGTGCGTCCCCTGGCCAATTCTGTCACACCAGAAGCAACTTGCAGTTTCTCAAGTCCTGGCACAACCAAAACAACAACAACAACAACAACAAAACAACCAATTCCCCAAACTCCATCTGTGTTCATATTTGGGTGTATTGAGTGTCCGTGCCAAGTTTGGTCCAGATCCATCATTGTTTGAGTCCACAGTGCTCTCTGGATGAAGGTGAACTACAACTCCCAAGCTCAAGGTCAATGCCCACCAACCCTTCCAGTATTTTCTGTTGGGGTCATGGGAGTTCTGTGTGCCAAGTCTAGTTCAATTCCATCATTGGTGGAGTTCAGAATGCTCTTTGAGTGTAGGTGAACTATAAATCCCAGCAACTACAACTCCCAGGTGAGAAAATCATCATTTTTTGAGTGATGGTCACTCCTTGTGTTGTGAGATGTTTTGTTGCCAAATTTGGTGTGATTTTGTTCATTGGTTCTTTTGTTTTTAAGGTACTCATTTTGCACAGAGCATTTTTATATATATAGATAGGAGACAAGGTGGAACTGCCCCCCCCCCCCCCTTTCTTCACTCTGGCCAAAAGCAGTTTAGATCCCCCAACCCCATTCCGCCATGCAAGGAAAGCACAAAGGAAGCGCGCGCAGATCTTTGGCTCTGCGCGAGCCTCCTTCCTCGTGCCTGCCTGCCTGCCTCCCATCGATGATTCGGCGCGCGGCGCTCTGCCTGCCTGCTGCTTGCCATGGCGGCGCCGAGCGCGGAGCCACGTGGCCTCTTCGGGCAAGGCGTGGAGGCCTTGCTGGGCAGCTGGCCCGTCCTGCAGGTACTGTCATCCATTCGTTGCGGGTCCCGGAGCCCCTCCGGGAGACTGGGAAGGAGGGATAAGGGTTAGTTTAAGGCGAGTCAGGAAAGGCCCCAACGTCTGGGAGACTTCAACTCCCAGAAGCCCTGCACAATGGCCGCACCGGCAGGGAATTCTGGGAGTTGAAGTCCAAAACAAAAAACTACACCCAAAGGTGAGGCACCTCCTGTGAGTGGGCCCATACCTCAGGTGTTTTGGACTTCGGGTGTTTTGTACTTCGACAATTCCTAACAGCTGGGGTTTCTGGGAGTTGAAGTCCAAAACAACCTGAAGGGCCGAAAGTTGCTCTTGCCTGGCTTGGTTGCACCCATACATTGGGATCTTGTGAAAGGCGGGAGCTGGCTTCCCAGCCAATAACACAAGAGTCTTGGAAATAAATGCATTGAATAGATCTTGACCTTTTTTTGTATGGATTACAGATTAATCTATATAAAAGTCAAAGTCTTCATTTCTTTATGTTTGTCTGGACTACAAAAACAGTTTCTAAGTGAAGTAGCCCTCTGATGCTGCAGGATTGGCTGTTATTAGGTGAAGTTTTGGCTGTTGCTAGATGGTTTGACTGTTGTAAGGTGAAGTGGCCCTTGGCTGTTGTTAGGTGAAGGCTTGGCTGTTGCAAGGTGAAGTGACCCTCTGTGGTGTCACCGGATTGGCTGTTGCTAGGTAAAGTGGCCCAACTGACTTGATAGGTGAAGGTTTGCTTGTTGCTAGGTGAAGATGTCATTAAATTGGCTGTTGCTAGGTGAAGGTTTGCTTGTTGCTAGGTGAAGATGTCATTGAATTGGCTGTTGCTAGGTGAAGGTTTGCTTGTTGATAGGTGAAGTGGCCCTCTGTGATGTCATTGAATTGGCTGTTGCTAGGTGAAGGTTTGCTTGTTGCTAGGTGAAGTGGCCCTCTGTGATGTAATTTAATTGAAGATTTGGATGTTGCTAGTTGAAGTGGCCCGATTGACTGTTGCTAGGTGAAAGTTTGCTTGTTGCTAGGTGAAGTGGCTCTCTGTGATGTAATTTAACTGGCTGTTGCTAGGTGAAGGTTTAAATGTTGCTAGTGGAAGTGGCCCAATTGTTGCTAGGTGAAGGTTTGCTTGTTGCTAGGTGAAGTGGCCCTCTGTGATGTCATTGAATTGACTGTTGCTAGGTGAAGGTTTGCTTGTTGCTAGGTGAAGTGGCCCTCTGTGATGTAATTTWGGTTTGGATGTTGCTAGTWGAAGTGGCCYGATTGACTSTTGCTWGGTGAAAGTTTGCTTGTTGCTARGTGAAGTGGCCCTCTGTGATGTCATTGAATTGGCTGTTGCTAGGTGAAGGTTTGCTTGTTGATAGGTGAAGTGGCCCTCTGTGATGTAATTTAATTGGCTGTTGCTAGGTGAAGGTTTAGATGTTGCTAGTTGAAGTGGCCCGATCGTTGCTAGGTGAAAGTTTGCTTGTTGATAGGTGAAGTGGCCCTCTGTGATGTCATTGAATGACTGTTGCTAGGTGAAGTGGCCATCTGTGATGTAATTTAGATTTGGATGCTGCTATTTGAAGTGGCCCGATTGACTGTTGCTAGGTGAAAGTTTGCTTGTTGATAGGTGAAGTAGCCCTCTGTGATGTCATTGAATTGGCTGTTGCTAGTTGAAAGTTTGCTTGTTGCTAGGTGACGTGGCCCTCTGTGATGTCATTGAATTGGCTGTTGCTAGGTGAAGGTTTAGATGTTGCTAGTTGAAGTGGCCCGATTGACTGTTGCTAGGTGAAAGTTTGCTTGTTGATAGGTGAAGTAGCCCTCTGTGATGTCATTGAATTGGCTGTTGCTAGTTGAAAGTTTGCTTGTTGCTAGGTGAAGTAGTCAAGAAGCAGGAAAATTGCATTCAAAGCACCCCTGACAGATGGGCACCCAGCCTGTTTAAAAGCCTCCAAAGAAGGAGCCGCTGCCACCACACTCCGGGGCAGAGAGTTCCACTGCTGAACAGGTCTCACAGTTACGAAGTTCTTCCTCATGTTTAGGTGGAATCTGCTTTCCTGTAGTTTGAAGCCATTGTTCCGCATCCTAGTTTCCAGGGCAGCGGAAAACAAGCTTGCTCCCTCCTCCCTATGACTTCCCCTCACGTATTAATACATGGTCGTCATCATGTCTTCTCTCAGCCTTCTCTTCTGCAGGCTAAACACGCCCAGCTCTTTAAGCTGCTCCTCATAGGGCTTGTTCTCTAGACCCTTAACTAGCAATGAGAAATCATGGGAGTAGCAAATCAACATCTTAAGACCCATACATTCCACATCACAAATGCTGTTGTTGTTTTAATGCTAACAGCAGTGACTTCTTCCCTTGCAGTATGCGCCCAACTTTGTAAGCAATGTCACAAAAATACTCACAAAAAATGGAAGTGTGAACTGTCAGTTGTGTCTCTCCGCTTGTGTTACAAGCAGAGTTGATAAGTATTGTCGAAGGTTTTCATGGCTGGAATCACTGGATTGTTGTAGGTTTTTCGGGCTATATGGCCATGTTCTAGAAGCATTCTCTCCTGACGTTTCGCCTGCATGTATGCAAGTTGATACGTGTTTATGCTCAGATCAGTTTCTCCTGCAACTTAAGGAGAATAAGAATCTTTTAAAAAGTGTTCCACGTGTCACTAAGGACAGAGAGAGCATTTTCTTAATTCAGCATCTTAAATGGAAGTAAAATGTGCCCTTTAAAAGCTCAGCCCTGAACTGAAAATATGTATTTTGCAGACAGCCAAAGCATTGTCAGTCTACCACTGCCACCCTTAAAATGTGTTTATTTTCACACCACCAAGTCTTCACTTGTTGACTAGAAGATTGCTTGCGTGTTGAAGGTATTTTTAATGAATGACTCCTTGACTTCTTTTTTTTTTGGTACAGATTGCTGTTGAAAATGGCTTTGGAGGGGCATACAGCCAAGAAAAAGCAGCATGGATGGTTGGCGCTGTGGAGCAGTACTTCCAAAGCAATGGTAAGATGCTTGAACAAGCTAATGTCTGAATGAGTCCATTATCAGGTTCTTATTGGTGTGGATAGCTGACAGACTGACGTGATACCAATTAAAATGGATCACTAGTGAGAACCTATTTTTGCCTGGGTTTTTCCTTCATCTGGCAGAGCATAATGGCTCTCTGATTTGATATATCCCATCTGAGACTAATCTTGCTGTTTGAATTGACAACAAGAGAACAGTTTAGTCATAGGGTAAGCTTCTTCAGTATAGAACTTGGAAGAGTTATTTTGCGAGAGGTTTACAGTACCAAAGGGTACTGACTCTGGGACTGTGGTGCTCATCTCCATTTCTAAGCCAAAGAGCCGGCGTTGTCCATAGACACCTCCAAGGTCATGTGGCCAGCATGACTGCATGGAGTGCTATTACCTTCCCGCCGAAGTGGTACCTATTGATCTACCCACATTTGCTTGTTTTCGAACTGCTAGGTTGGGAGAAGCTGGGGCTGACAGCGGAAGCTCATGCTGCTCCCCGGAGTCGAACCTGCGACCTTTCGGTCAGCAAGTTTAGCAGCTCAGTGGGTTAACCCACTGCGCCATTGGGGGCTCCCTTTACAGTGCCTAGAACCTGGGAATATGTATTACAGATGATTTTTTCAAGTTCTCGTCCACAGAAGCTTTATCACCAATCCTTGTTTCCACAACAAGCCACATTTTTCAAAATCCAATTATCACAGGGACAGAAAGGGAGGTGAAATCTTCTGAACAGAGGCACAGACAGCAAAACAAACACTACAGGGGTGTTAACCCTTCCCTATGCTATCCAAAGCATGCATGCATATATACTAGCTGTACCTGCCACGCCACGTGTTGCTGTGGCCAACCTTCCCTCCCTCTTTCTCTCCTTCTTTCTCTTCTTTCTTCACTCCCCCTTTCCTTTTTCTTTTCCTTCTCTCCTTCCTTCCTTCTCTACCTCTTTCCTTCCCCCCTTTTCTTTTCCTCCCCTTTCCCTCCTTGCTTCCTACTCTACCTCTTTCTTTCCCTCCCTCTTTCTCACCTTTCTTCCTTCTCTACCTCTTTCCTTCCTTCCTTTGCTTTTTGCTTCCATCCTTTCTTCTTTCTTTCCTTCTTTCCTTCCTTCCCACTTTTTCTCCTTCTTTCCCTCCTTCCTTCACTCCCTCTTTTCTTTCTTTCGTTCTTTTCCTTCCTCTTTCTCTCCTTTCTTCCTTCTCTACCTCTTTTCTTCCTTCCTTCCTTTGCTCTTTGCTTCCAGGCTTCCTTCTCTCCTTCCTTCCTTCCTTCCTTCCTTCCTTCCTTCCTTCCTTCCTTCCTTCCTTCCTTCCTTCCTTCTTTTCTTATCTGTCTGTCTGTCTTCCTTTCTTTCTTTCTTTCTTTCTTTCTTTCTTTCTTTCTTTCTTTCTCCCCTTCCTTCTCTCCCTCCCTCATCCTTCCCTTTTTTATTGTATCGTCATTTAGCTTTTTGTCATTTAGCTTTTGGGGTTTTTTAAGCCCTTTCACTGTTTTTTGGGGGTGGGTGGGGTTATGAGTGATAGTCACTCATTGGCCTGTTAGGGGTATAGTGTCCACATTTCATGTCAATTCCTCCAGTGGTTTTTGAGTTATGTTAATCCCACAAACGAACATTACATTTTTATTTATATAGATTAGTGTGTGGCTGAAGTTACATTTTAAAACGTACTTGTTTTGACTTACATACGCATTCAACTTAAGGACAAACCTACAGAACCTATCTTGTTTGTAACTTGGGGACTGCCTATATTGACTGAAAGCAGGAGAGAGCCATTATCCTCCATTATAATTGTCCTGAAATTTCAAAACCAAACATGTCACGTAGTGCATCTACATGAGAGGTGCGTGGTTTAACCAGAAACTCTGGGATCAGGGATTGTTGTCATGGGTTTTCTGCTCTGTCAAGATTCAGATTTAGCGATCACAACTGGGAGGTTGGAAGCCAGGACTCATCACCTTCAGTTCAGGAGGAAGTTATTTATTTATTGTGTCAGGAGCGAACCAAACAGTTGTATTGACCAACTACTGGTCAAAGGACATTTAAAAGAATGCCAAGTTTGCAAACTTTGTGTGTGTTTTAAAAAAATACACTACAACTGTTTATAGAATCATAGAATCAAAGAGTTGGAAGAGACCTCATGGGCCATCCAGTCCAACCCCCTGCCAAGAAGCAGGAATATTGCATTCAAATCACCCCTGACAGATGGCCATCCAGCCTCTGTTCAAAAGCTTCCAAAGAAGGAGCCTCCACCACATTCTGGGGCAGAGCGTTCCACTGCTGAACGGCTCTCACAGTCAGGAAGTTCTTCCTCATGTTCAGGTGGAATCTCCTTCCTTGTAGTTTGAAGCCATTGTTCCGCGTCCTAGTCTCCAGGGAAGCAGAAAACAAGCTTGCTCCCTCCTCCCTGTGGCTTCCTCTCACATATTTATACATGGCTATCATATCTCCTCTCAGCCTTCTCTTCTTCAGGCTAAACATGCCCAGTTCCTTAATCCGCTCCTCATAGGGCTTGTTCTCCAGACCCTTGATCATTTTAGTTGCCCTCCTCTGGACACATTCCAGCTTGAAAATATATCTCTTCAATTTTGCAGACAACCCAATTTTGCAGAATCCCATTGGTGCCCAGAATTGGGCACAATATTCCAGGTGTGGTCTAACCAAAGCGGAACAGAGGGGTAGCATTACTTCCTTAGATCTAGACACTAGGCTCCTATTGATGCAGGCCAAAATCCCATTGGCTTTTTTTGCCGCCACATCACATTGTTGGCTCATGTTTAACTTGTTGTCCACGAGGACTCCAAGATCTTTTTCACACGTACTGCTCTCAAGTCAGGCGTCCCCCATTCTGTATCTTTGCATTTCGTTTTTTCTGCCTAAGTGGAGTATCTTGCATTTGTCCCTGTTGAACTTCATTTGTTAGTTTTGGCCAATCATCTCTCTAATCTGTCAAGATCATTTTGAATCCTGCTCCTGTCCTCTGGAGTATTGGCTATCCCTCCCAATTTGGTGTCGTCTGCAAACTTGATGATCCTGCCTTCTAACCCTTCATCTAAGTCATTAATAAAGATGTTGAACAGGACCGCTCCTGACACAATAAATAAATTGTGGTTCGCTCCTGACACAATAAATAAATAACTTCCTGCTGAACTGAAGGTGATGAGTCCTGGCTTCCAACCTCCCAGTTGTGATCACTAAATCTGAATTTTGACAGAAAACCCATGACAAGAATACCTGTTCCCAGGAAGTTGAAATTCAGGGAGTTAAAGTAAAACATGGTGTTGATCAGAGGTAAAGATTCTTTTCTTTTATGCCATGAGTATGGAACTTCTCACTGACCAGACATCTTAGACTACAACTCCCACAATCCCTTACTGTTGGCTGTGTTGTATGGGGCTGATGAGTGTATTATGGCAGTCTTGGAAAAAATCTGGCCAGTGTTGTCTTGGAATTCTTGCAGTTTCTGACTCTTTATCTTTGTTCATCTTCCTTGCAGCTGACCTGGAGCCAGATGAGGTAGAGGATTTCCTTGCTGAGTTGATGAACAATGAATTTGACACAATGGTAGAAGATGGTAGTTTGACTCAGGTATGTCCCTCTTCCCTCCTTTTTCCTCTCCCTTATGCCTTGTTTCAAGGGCCCAGGACTGGGATTGACCTGAAGGCCATCAGCTCAAAACCTTTATTCCAGTGGGTTGTTGTAGGTTTTTCGGGCTGTGTGGCCATATTCTAGAAGCATTCTCTCCTGATGTTTCACCTGCATCTGTGGCAGGCATCCTCAGAGGTTGTGAGGACCTCACAACCTATGAGGATGCCTGCCACAGATGTAGGCAAAATGCCAGGAGAGAATGCTTCTAGAACATGGCCATATAGCCCGAAAAAACTACAACCCAGTGATTCCGGCCATAAAAGCCTTCAACAATACATTATTCCAGTAAATGACACTACTCAACATCTCACTGAATGAGCCCACAAAATCCATCACATTTTGTGTGACCAATAGGAACCAAGAGCAAGCAAGAGTACACATTCCAAACAAAATCTCGGAAGTGCTAGCTGAATCCAATTTGAAACCATCCCAGCTCCTTCCTTTCAAATGTAACTAGCGAGATCCATGTGAAGGTGTCCATTCCCTGACACTTCTGTCAAAAGGAAATAGGGAACAAGGAGCATAGACTCCTACAAGACAAAACCAGAGTTTGAGAGCAATAGAGGGTATGTTCACTACAGGCTGGATGGATAGTGCATATAAGTATGAGGGTTGAATGAAAAGTAATGTCTCCACCTTCGTAACTCCTCAACAGATGGCAGTACTGGTGTGCAGCAGGTACTGGCTTGTTCAGTAGACTCCCCTCTACAGTTCCATTTTGGCGGGAAGCCTTGGCATTGAATGGTTGTGTTGTTAAAGTGTGAAGTATGGAACCCTGCACAGACTGTCGGTCAATGCGACTTAAACAACGTGCAGTCATTGAATTCTTGACAGCAGAAGTTGTCACCCTAAAGGAGATTCATCAGAGAATGCAAGTTGTTTATGGTGATTGTGTTGATGTGAGTAGTGTGCGTCGTTGGGTGAGTAAGTTTAAAGATGTTGAGGTGGGAACATCTGACTTGCTTGACAAACAAATAGTTGGACATCCTGTGACAACAATCACAGAGTTTCACAAGCAAAAGGTTGACGGATTGATTCAGGACGATCGTCATATCACTCAGAGAGAAATTTCAAGCATAATCTGATTTCACAAGAACGTGTGTGGGTCACATTATTGCTTTGCTTGGCTATTGGAAGATCTGTGCACCATGGGTACCGAGGATGCTGACTCCTGAAATGAAAGCACACAGACTTGAAACTTCAGAGACTGGATCTCACCACCATACGACATCCTCCATACAGTCCAGATTTAGCACCGTCTGAATTCCATCTGTCCCCGATAATGAAAGAAGATCTGTGGGGACCTCATTATGATTCTGATGAAGACGTTGAGAGAACTGTGAGACGCTGGTTGCGGAAACAGAGTGTTGACTTCTTCCATGACTGCTTCAGAAAACTTGTTCATCGTTGGCAGAAATGTATCCAATTGTCTGGTGATTATGTGGAAAAGTGAATAGAGGTCGTTAAAGAGCACATTCCAAGGATTATTTCTGCATTTGATTTATTAAAATATTCCCATCCAAACCCAAGTAATGAAGGTGGAGGCATTACTTTTCATTCAACTCTCATACATGAAATTACTCTTTTTGCAGGAAAGGGTAGAAGACTTTCTTAAGAAGGCACTCTTAGTAACCTGTAGAGCAGTTGAATTTAGATAAGAGCATGGTCATAATCTCAATACGGTAATTACTACAGTAATTGGGATTTTGCACAGGGTTGTATTCTCTACCCATTATGTCCTTTGGAGTTTCGCTGGATCCATACAAGTCTGTTTAGATTAGGGCCCTTTTCCATATCACACTTCTCCATGTATTCTATTCTTGCTCTCACTGAATCCATTCTCGGTCTGTTGATTTTAACTGACCTTGATCTCCCTACCTGACATGATTACAGTTCACCAGAGTGGAGTGCTGTTGTTCTACATGACAAGACAGGGTCTGATGATCAAGTTGCATAGCAAATGGCTCTGTCCCAGTCCTTCTGAATTCTGTGCTGCAGAGGGCAGCACAACCAAAAGAGACAGAGGTCTTGTCATCTGTCTTCAGGGGAAGGCATTCCATCTTAAACTGGTGGCTTAGAGCATGATAGGAGGCCTTGCTTGTTTGCTAAAGCAATTAAAAAGTGCACAGTAGCTTTTTGATTAGGACTAGTTATATCAAATGTATTATAGAGGTGGCTCATTAGACTACCATTCCGAAGACCAGGGTTTGAATCCATACTCTGCAGTGGAAGCAGAGCCCTCGGTGGTGCAATGGGTTAAACCAGGGGTCCTCAAACTACGGCCCGTGGGCTGAATACAGCCCTCCAAGGTCATTTACCCAGCCCTCACTCAGGGTCAGCCTAAGTCTGAAACAACTTGGAAGCGCACAACAATAGCAACAATTCTATCTCATCAGCCAAAAGCAGGCCCACACTTCCCACTGAAATACTAATAAATGTATATTTGTTTAAATGGTTCTTCATTTTAATTATTGTATTGTTTTAAGTGTTTTTAACTAGAAACAAGATATGTGCAGTGTGCATAGGAATTCATGTTTTTTTCAAATTATAATCCGGCCCTCCAAAAGTTTGAGGGACTGTGACTTGGCCCTCTGTTTAAAAAGTTTGAGGATCTCTCTTCCTTCGCTCAGCCTTCCCTATGGTCCAGCTCTCACATCCGTAGGTTACTACGGGGAATACTATTGCTTTAACTATGCGAATCTTCGTTGACAGTGTGATGTCTCTACTCTTCACTATTTTATCAAGATTGGACCTTGCTCTCCTCCCAAGAAGTAAGCGTCTCCTGATTTCCTGGCTGCAGTCTGCGTCTGCAGTAATCTTTGCACCTAGGAATACAAAGCCTGTCACGGCCTCACATTTTCTCTCTATATTTGCCAGTTATCAATCAGTCTTGTTGCCAAAATCTTGGTTTTTTAAATGTTTAACTGCAACCCAGCTTTTGCGCTTTCTTCTTTCGCCTTGATTAGAAGGCTCCTCAGCTCCTCCTCGCTTTCGGCCATCAAAGTGGTGTCATCTGCATATCATTGTCTTCTGCCTATATCATCAGTTGGGAGGTCCCTCCCCCCTCTGACACCAATGGCTGCTCCGGCCACAGCGAAGACAGAGGGGAGCAGAAGACATTTCTATTTTGTCTTTATAATAATATAATATAGTATATTGTATGTACATATAATATTTATAATATAATAATGTAATACAATATAATACTAGTAATAATAATACAATATTATAATTATATATTTTCATTACATGTAATATTACTAATAATATTACAATATAATGGTATAGTACAATATAAAAGGTAAAGGTTGTCCCCAGTCATGTCTGACTCTGAGGTGTGGTGCTTATCTCCATTTCTAAGCTGAAGACCTGGCGTTGTCCGTAGACACCTCCAAGGTCATGTGGCCGGCATGACTGCATGGAGCGCCCTTACCTTCCCGCCGGAGCAGTACCTATTGATCTACTCACATTTGCATGTTTTCGAACTGCTAGGTTGGCAGAAGCTAGAGCTGACAGCGGAAGCTCATGCCGCTCCCCAGAATCGAACCTGCGACCTTTCGATCAACAAGCTCAGCAGCTCAGCTTTAACTACCACTATTTATTTGTAGCTCATTTAAGGTAAAGTAAAGGTAGTCCCCTGACATTAAGTCCAGTCATGTCTGACTCTGGGGTGTGGTGCTCATCTCCATTTCTAAGCCGAAGAGCCAGCGTTGTCCGTAGACACCTCCAAGGTCATGTGGCCGGCATGACTGCATGGAGCGTCGTTACCTTCCCGCCGGAGCGGTACCTATTGATCTACTCACATTTGGCTAGGGCTGACAGCGGAAGCTCACGCCGCTCCCCAGAATCGAACCTGCGACCTTTCGATCAACAAGCTCAGCAGCAATATAGTAATATATAATACTGATATTGTACTATGCTAATAATATAATATATTGTATGAAAATATATATTGTAAGCCGCTCTGAGTCCCCTTCAGGGTGAGAAGGGCGGCATATAAATAAGTACATAAATAAATAAATAAATAAATAAATAAGGTTGTTAATGTTTCTTCCAGCAATTTTAACCCCATCCTTGCATGATGTGTTCTGCATACAAGTTGAATAGGTTGGGTGAGAGTATACAACCTTGCCGTACGCCTTTCCCAATCTTGAACCAGTCCATCATATAGAGAGGCCATTTTGGGTTTTTTTCTAGAGGACAGATGCCCAATTATGACTTCAGGACTCATTCTTGGATTTGCTCTTCTTAAGCCAGAGCAGTCTATTCTGCCTCATTCAGGCTTCATTGTTTTGGCAAAGCAGAAAAAGCCAATGTGGTGCCCTTATTGGATTTCCCAAACTAGAAATGATCTTGCCATTCTTTTTTATTATGTGTTTATCCACATTGCTACGGCTGTCAGCTCCAGCACTAAAAACATCCCGATATTGGAAGAGCCAGGAACTGCTGACTTTGGGTTGTCCACCCTAGGAGTTTTGTGTGGTCTGCTGGGACACAGTAAAAATGTAGTTCTTATGCCAGTTCTTGGAGCAGTTGCCCTGGGAAAGAGACCTTGGGCCGGCTGCTGAAAGAGACGTGTCTGTCTTCCCCCCACGGTAGGTGAGCCAGCAACTGTGCCTGTTCTTCAGCCAGTGCCAGCATGGAAATGGAGCAGCAGTGCGTGAAGCCATTGTCCGTCTGGCCCAGAAGAAGCAAGAGGCCAAGGTGGTCGCTGCAAAATCCCAGCCAGCAGACCAGAGCAGCAGCAGCGAGGAGGAAGATGAGCAGGAGGCAGAGGAAGAGGTATTGCAAAGGCTGTTGTTCAAGCACTAAGCCCATTGATAAATCTAGATTCAGGCTGGTTTTGTGTGTGTGTGTCCAGTTTGCAGCTCTTATTCAAAACCTGATCTCAGTAGGATGCAAGAGGGTGGTGAGGACAAGGAGGAAACCACGGCTTTGTGCCAGGAAGGAAGGACAGACTGGGCTTTGTGGGGCAAAAAAATCCTGACAGAGGGAGCACTTTTCTTGTATTCCTTGTAAACTTCTCAGATGACTTGAAACTTGTTCTTACTCCAGCAGCTTTTAAATACACAGTTTTGTGTGGAGTTATGCTCTTTAGGCTAACCTAGGAATCCTCCTTCTCCTCGTTCCTCTCTTACCAAAGACTGGACATCATTGTGGCCGCTGTCTTTTGATGCGGCAATAGTCATACTATTGTCGAAGGCTTTCATGGCTGGAATGACTGGGTTGTTGTAGGGTTTTCAGGCTATATGGCCATGTTCTAGAAGCATTCTCTCCTGACGTTTGGCCTACATCTGTGGCAGGTATCCTCAGAGGTTGTGAGGACCTCACAACCTCTGAGTATGCCTGCCACAGATGCAGGCGAAACACTTCTAGAACATGGCCATACAGCCCGAAAAACCTACAACAATCCACTGGAATAAAGGTTTCGAACGAAACTTGACATTGAGACTGAAGTTTTAGATGCACTTTCAGGAATTGGATCAAATTGGCAGAAGACTGTATTCTGGAATCCATATAAATAAAAATGTAATGTTCAATGTATTGTCGAAGGCTTTCATGGCCGGAATCACTCAGTTCTTGTGGGTTTTTTGGGCTATATGGCCATGTTCTAGAGGCATTTCTCCTGACGTTTCGCCTGCATCTATGGCAAGCGTCCTCTACCTCTGAGGATGCTTGCCATAGATGCAGGCGAAACGTCAGGTGAAATGCCTCTAGAACATGGCCCTATAGCCCGAAAAAACCCACAAGAACCTAATGTAATGTTCGTTTGTGGGATTAACAGAACTCAAAAACCACTGAAATTGACACCAAATTTGGACACAAGACACCTAACAACCCAATGTATGTCCTTCACTCAAGAAAAATTGATTTTGTCATTTGGGAGTTGTAGTTGCTGGGATTTATAGTTCACCTACAATCAAAGAGCATTCTGAACCCCACCAACGATGGAATTGAACCAAACTTGGCACACAGTTCTCCCATGACCAACAGAAAATATTGGAAGGGTTTGGTGGGCAGTGTCCTTTGGTTTTGGAGTTGTAGTTCACCTACATCCAGAGATCACTGTGGACTCAAACAATGATGGATCTGGACCAAACTCTACACGAATACTCAATATGCCCAAATGTGAACACTGGTGGAGTTTGGGGAAAATAGAATCTTGATATTTGGGAGTTGTACTTGCTGGGATTTATAGTTCACCTACAATCACAGAGCATTCTGAAGCCCACCAATGATAGAATTGGGCCAAACCTCCCACACAGAACCCCCATGTGGGCCACAGCAACGCGTGGCAGGGGACGGCTAGTATGTATATATATGACACACCCTTCAACATTTTATAGATGAAAACTGGGATACTGTTTTATTGAGCTGGATATTGGGGGAGATATTTTGTATTTTTTTAAAAAAAATCTCATGCTTGTTCTAGTTTTTCATAACTCGTCCACTTTTCTTTCTTTCATTAAAAATACAGATATACTTTTCAGTATTGAACTTTGCAACCGTAGATGTTTTGGTGTTCATTGTCTAGCACACTCCCACTCACAACCCATTCTGACCAATACATTTTTATGTGACCCTGGATATATAGGCATATGAAATAGACGTTAAACCAAAATGTTTACTGATAATAAATCAGCATTTATAAGGTTTGGTAAAGAGGCTGATTTGCAGTGTGTTGTCGAAGGCTTTCATGGCTGGAATCACTGGGTTGTTGTATATTTTTTGGGCTATATTCTAGAATCATTCTCTCGTGACGTTTCGCCTGCATCTATGGCAAGCATCCTCAGGTTGTGAGGTCTGAGGATGCTTGCCATAGATGCAAGCGAAACATCAGGAGAGAATGCTTCTAAAACATGGCCATATAGCCCAAAAAACCTCCAACAACCCAGTGATTCCAGCCATGAAAGCCTTCGACAATACATTAAACCCAATAGTCATACTGTACTTACTAATGGGAGCGGGGTACAGGGAGCGCACAACTCTTTTGTTGCGCCAGCTCCACTGGCTGCCAATTAGCTTCTGAGCACAATTCAAAGTGCTGGTTTTAACCTACAAAACCCTATATGGTTCTGGCCCGGTTTACCTGTCTGAATGTATTCTCCCCTATGAACCATCGAGACAATTAAGATCTTCTGGTGGGGCCCTGCTCTTGGTCCCGGCACTTTCGCAATCGCATCTGACGGGAATGAGAGACAGGGCCTTTTCTGAGGTGGCCCCTCGGCTATGGAACTCTCTCCCGATTGAGATCAGATCTGCCCTCTCCCTCCTGTCCTTCAGAAGGCTGGTGAAATCCTGGCTATGGAAGGAACCATTCCCAGAGTAATGCTTGAAACCGGCTACAGAATGAAGTTATCAACCACACATACGGACTGAGTTGGACATGATTTTATCTTGGCGATTTGGCTTATTTGTAATTTTAATCGATATGTATTTTAACTTGTTATTATATGAAGTTTTTAGATTGTACTATTAGCATTGAGGAGCCCCCGGTGGTGCAGTGGGTTAAAGGGCTGAGCTGCTGAGCTTGTTGACCGAAAGGTCACAGGTTCGATTCCGGGGAGAGACGTGAGCTTCCGCTGTCAGCCCTAGCTTCTGCCAACCTAGTAGTTGGAAAACATGCAAATGTGAGTAGATCAATAGGTACCGCTCTGGCGGGAAGGTAAGGGTGCTATAGGTACCGCTCTGGCGGGAAGGTAAGGGTGCTCCATGCAGTCATGCCAGCCACATGACCTTGGAGGTGTCTATGGACAACGCCGGCTCTTCGGCTTAGAAATTGAGATGAGCACCACACCCCAGAGTCAGACATGACTGGACGTAATGTCAGGGCACAACCTTTACCTTTTTTATTAGCACTGAATCCTTGCTGTAAGCCGGTCTGAGTCCCTCTGTGTTGCAATAGCAGATTCCCAGATTAATTTAGTGTTTACACCTTATTTTATTTTTCCGGTTATTTAATATTTAATGTTTATTTTACTTAAGTGATATTTGTCTTACCTGTTCTAATGTAGCACAAATCCTATGTAAAATCATACTACGTATTTTTGACATTAATATTGAAATCTGAAATATATACAGAAAGTCTTGAGAAGATTGGGATATAAAAGTTATAAATAAATAATAAATATTGCATCCAAATGAATCTCTAAGCTCAGGAATAAGTTCTAAATTAGACCCATTTGCTAATTGGAGGACCCCTTTGGTATTTGTTAAACATTGTGATCAAGCAAGTGCTTTTTAAAGGGGGAAAACCACCTGTACTCTAAGTTTCAATATTTATGAAAAGCTAATCCAGTAACTGGTATTGTCTCACCTCTTTCCCACCCAGGCCATGGAGTGTAGTGCTACTCCCAACATGAATGGGCCAACATCCAATCCTCCTCCCCCATCCAACACAGAGGAGGAAGATGGTTGGACCTTGGTGAGGAAGAAAAAGAAATGAGGAAGACCAACCAAGCCCAGTGCTTGATGGTGTCATGCCCAGAACGGTGCCACAAAGTTGTGACAGGGCAAATTGAATTGTGCATTTCCACAGAATGGATATTCTTTATGAACATTGAGAAGAACGTGTTTGGGATGGTGATGGGGCTTTCAGTTGCAGAGGGGAGTGCTTTAGGTAAGCAGAGAGGTTCTCCATGGTAGACGTTTGCACCTTTGGGACTCTCTTAAGAGATGCTCTCCTGCACTGAACAAGATCATGGCTGAAGGACATCAGGTCCGTATCATTATTGAAACTGCTTTCCATGAAGTGAGATTACCTTCTGCCTCAGCTGTTTTCCTGGTGTTTGAAATGGTGATGAGAAGCCATATGTCTAAATATATTCTAGCTTGCGCCCGAAAGGTTTTCTCCGCTTGGGATCCTCATTACGTGTTTTCAACTATTGGAAGAGAAAATCGTATCAGTCTCCTCTCCTGAACCATTCCCAAAAGAGAGATTGTCTTTTTTAGGGAGGAAAAAAGAGATGCGCATGACAGAAAAACAAAATCCTGTATTTTTAAAAAAATGGACATTGGAAGAACAAAATACAACAATGAAACTAGAAAGTAAAATGGACAATACACAAATCTCGGTTGTGGGGCTGGGGGCTTCCGGTCAATAGAAGCTCCCTTTCCCTAACCTCTGTAGTGGCCAGCCACTGTACATGAGCAACAATAAAATATTATTTTGGTAAGATTTTGTATATCCCTTAATACTGAGGCTTTTTTTAATATAAATGTTACATGCACTAGTTCTACACCAGGAGACTTTGTGGGGAAGGGGTATAGGAGTGGGCACCACCAGGAAACCTAGAGAAAACAAGGAAAGGGACACCCCTCCCACCGCATGCACACACACATACATACACACATACATTGCACACGCACATTTTAACTTGAAACAGTACCAGCAGTAAGGGAAGGCATAAACTGCAGTCTGAAGAACTTCTGGTCCAGTGAAGGTCAGAACGTTTAAGAGTATCGGCCATTTAAGTGCATTTTATCAAGGAGGGGGAGCAACTGTCTTGAGAAAAAGGATGTAAGTGGGAGCCTCAGGTTGTGTCTTCCAATATGGCCGAACAGAAGCACAAGAGCATCACTGAGAGCAAAAGGCCTTGCCTGTTCAAGGTTGTAAAGTTTTAGCAACTTTTATTGGGTATAGTAGGCAACGGCACTCCTATGTGGACCTCCAGTGTTCACATCAGCACCAACTTTCCGTGAGGCAGTGCATTACAATTATGTCTTGGATTCTGGCTATTTGTTATGGCTGTGACCATCCTCACAAATAAACCATGTTTACCTAATAGGACCCCCGGTGGCGTAGTGGGTTAAACCCCTGTGCCGGCAGGACTGAAGACCAACAGGTCGCAGGTTCGAATCCGGGGAGAGCGCGGATGAGCTCCCTCTATCAGCTCCAGCTCCTCATGCGGGGACATGAGAGAAGCCTCCTACAAGGATGGTAAAAACATCCGGGCGTCCCAGGGCAACATCCTTGCAGACGGCTAATTCTCTCACACCAGAAGCGACTTGCAGTTTCTCAAGTCGCTTCTGACATGAAAAAAATGCTTACCTAGTTAGAATTAGAAGCCAGGAGTTGAAAGCTTGTGAACTCCAGCTTATTTACAATATGGCTTGTTCTGCACAGACTCAGAAACATGCTTTGTTTCCCCTAGCTATCCACCCATGAAAAACAGATAGTATTTTTTGTGCAATTTAAATACACCAATGTCCTGTTGCTATAAACTTCAGCAAAAGTATCAGTTCAATTAATCATGAGAATACTCAATTGTATGTTATTTTGTTAAAATTGTATATCATGTATTAATATATTGTCGAAGGCTTTCATGGCCGGAATCACTGGGTTGTTGTAGGTTTTTTCGGGCTATATGGCCATGGTCTAGAGGCATTCTCTCCTGACGTTTCACCTGCATCTATGGTAAGCATCCTCAGAGGTTGTGAGGTCTGTTGGAACTAGGAAAAAGGGTTTATATATATGTGGAATGACCAGGGTAAGACAAAGGAGGAAACCATGAAAATGAACGAAATCTGGCTACCAGTATCAAAAAACTCTAAAATTGCAACAGCACAACAACAGAGAGGAAACAAACAAGGACATCTCATCACCTCTCAATAAAAGTTGGCTCCAGGCACTGTCAGGGCATTATATGCTAATCAAGGTGATCAGTTGAAACATTCACACCTAGCTCCAGCAGACAAGAGTCCTTTGCCCCACCCGGGTCATTCCACAGATATATAAACCCCGTTTCCTAGTTCCAACATACCTCACTACCTCTGAGGATGCTTGCCATAGATGCAGGCGAAACGTCAGGAGAGAATGCCTCTAGAACATGGCCATATAGCCCGAAAAAACCTACAGCAATCCAGCCTTTTCCTCCTTTTTAAATCCACCACCCAACCAACCAACTGGAAGAGTGTAATATGAATGTCACCAGCAATATTGTGCAATTCCATTGACTGTAGTGAATTTTCAGCTCTCCCATGACCAACAGAAAATACTGGAAGGGTTTGGTGGGCAGTGTCCTTTGGTTTTGGCGTTTTAGTTCACCTACATCCAGAGATCACTGTGGACTCAAACAATGATGGATCTGGACCAAACTCTACACAAATACTCAGTATGTCCAAATGTGAACGCTGGTGGAGTTTGGGGAAAATAGAATCTTGACATTTGGGAGTTGTAGCTGCTGACATTTATAGTTCACCTACAATCACAGAGCGTTCTGAACCCCACCAACGATAGAATTGGGCCAAACCTCCCACACAGAACCCCCATGTGGGCCACAGCACCGCGTGGCAGGGGAGGGCTAGTTATTTATATAGATTACACCATTGTAAATAATCCCATCACATTTGTTCCCTATGCTTATATACTATACGAATTAATTGAGAATTCTCATGATTAATTGAATCGATACTTTCGCTGAAGTTTATAGCAACAGGTCATTTGTGTATTTACATTGTACTTATAGATATCTGTGTAGTATTTTTTGTGCATCTGTAGTCGAAGCAATCAAAGATGGCTTAGAGTGATCTGGAAGCTGCCCATTTTTTAAGGTCCTGGGGACAAAGAGGAAGAAAATGGATATTTGTCATGCCCTGCAAATGAGGCTTGGTCTAGCAACTGTTGGAAACAATGCTCTAGTACAATGATTTGTAGACCATTCCTCCTGGAAGAGCACTTGAAAGTTGCAGTAGCAGGGGAGAGGTGGCTGTTTTGCAAAACACAGCCTATAAACAAGTTATTTTAATAGCATTCTTTGTTGTGACAGTACCAGTAGAACTATTACGGACCCTCTGAGAAGAATCCTGATAAGTGGGGGAGGAATTATTTGATTGCATCAGCCCCATACAATTAAAAGCACCACCACATTAGGACTTGGTTCGACAGCTGAAGAAAACCACCCGGCTTAAAATGGCTTCAGTCACTGTTGTGTTTTTAAAAAGCCAAGTGCAAATCAAGAACGGATATTCTTGAATATTTTGCAACTTTGTGTTGCCCACCTAAACCGAGCTTGTGGACAGACCCCAGTTTGAAATCCTCAATGGAGGGATCTTGCTCACGTTGGAAGACGGTTCTTACATTCACATGGATACACATGGGACTTACATCACATCAGTCCTGGCTCTATTCTAATCCAGCCTCTTCAAGTGTGCCAGCCTCCTTTGTAGAAGGAAGCGGTTCTATGACTGCCGCCAGCTCCACGGAGGACCTCTTGCTCCTTCTACACGCCTTATTTCTCATTAAATGCCCCAGGAGGTTATAACACGGGCCTGTGGTATTTGCTGTGTTTCGTTCCTGGACCTTCCATGGATACAGAAATCTGTGGCTGGCCAAGTCCCATTATATACAATGGCACAGTAAAATGATGCCCCTTCTATAAAATAGCAATATCAAGGTTTGGTTCTGAATTTTTTGGATTTTTTTTCAAGTTGTTTTATGGCTGAATCCATGGTTATGGAAAGCCAACTGTATTTCTTTCAGATGATCTATCTTTTAGATCAGAGGTCCTCAAACTTTTCAAACAGAGGGCCAGGTCAATATCCCTCAAACTGTCAGAGGGCCGGATTATAATTTGAAAAAAATGAATGAATTCCTATGCATACTGCACATATCTTATTTGTAGTGCAAAAATCACTTTAAAACAATGCAATAATTAAAATGAAGCACAATTTTAACGAATATAAAATTATTATTATTTCAATGGAAAGTGTGGGCCTGCTTTTGGCTGATGAGATAGGATTGTTGTTGTGTGCTTTCAAGTCGTTTCAGACTTAGGTTGACTTTGAGCGAGGGCCGGGCACATGACCTTGGAGGGCCGTATCCAGCCCGCGGGCTTTAGTTTGAGGACTCCTGATTTAGATGATGCACTTGTATCATCCTCCCTTTTAGCATTTAATTTGGCTTTTGTGCTATTGCCTTCACTGACATTTGGAAAGCACATCTGAGTATAATTTCCCATTTCAAAGCCTTTTCCTCGTATTGTCGAAGGCTTTCATGTCCGGAATCACTGGGTTGTTGTAGGTTTTTTCGGGCTATATGGCCATGTTCTAGAGGCATTCTCTCCTGACGTTTTGCCTGCATTTATGGCAAGCATCCTCAGAGGTAGTGAGGTCTGTTGGAACTAGGAAAATGGGTTTATATATCTGAGGAAATACCAGGGTGGGACAAAGAACTCTTGTCTGTTGGAGCTATGTGTGAATATGATAGCCTGGAAGTCTAAAATTACAACAGCAAAACAACAGAGAGGAAACAAACAGGGACATCTAATCACCTCTCAACAAAAGATTGCCCCAGGCACTAACAAGCCATACCAAACAACTGCCAGGCCATCAAATGCTAATCTAGGTGGTCCATTGAAACATTCACACCTCACTCCAACAGACAAAAGTCCTTTGTCCCACCCTGGTCATTCCACAGATTGTGGACAGTTTCGGCGGAGGGGGGGAGGCCATGAAGGTGGGCAGAATCTGGCTGCCAGTATTAAAGGGCTCTAAAATTGCAACAGCACAACAACAGAGAGGAAGCAGGCAGGGACATCTGATTACCTCTCAACAAAAGTTTGCTCTAGACACAGTCAGCCCATTGTATGCTAATCAAGGTGGTCAGTTGAATCATTCACACCTAGCTCCAGCAGAAAAGAGTCCTTTGTCCCACCCTGGTCATTCCACAGATATATAAACCCAATTTTCCTAGTTCCAACAGACCTCACTACCTGTGAGGATGTTTGCCATATATGCAGGCGAAACATCAGGAGAGAATGCCTCTAGAACATGGCCATATAGCCCGAAAAAGCCTACAACAACCCAGCCTTTTCCTCCTTTTTAAATCCACCACCCAACCAACCAACTGGAAGAGTGTAATATGAATGTCACCAGCAATATTGTGCAATTCCATTGACGGTAGTGAATTTTTGTGAGAAGTCTTCAGAAGACTCTGCCATTAGAAACCAAGAAAATAGTCGAAGATTGAAAAGCGAGCATTGGAATGTGGCAATTAGTTCACCTGGTCCACCATTTTGGGGGGAAAAGAGGAAAAGGTATCTCGGTAACAGCAGACCTTGCCTTGTCTGAGTTGGGTTTTTTCTTCTTCTCCTACACAAGCTCTTTATCTCTCACATTACATATCCTTAATTCCGATTCTGCTCTTAAAGACAGAGGCTTTAGGTCCTAAGTATGGAGGGCGTCAGCTAAATCTGAGACAGGCTAAAGCCAACCTTCTCTATCTCAAAGTAGCTAGACACAAAGGGAAATGAATAAGTCAAATGTCACCTAGTATCATACAAAGATCTGGAGGAAGGATGAAGAAAGAAGGCAGAGCAATGCAGAAGAAGTGGCCAAAGAAACCCCCACTGAAATAAAATTGGGTCCATGTCAGTTTCTCATTCCTTCACCCTTTCCCCAAGCCACTGCAGTGGAGAGTATATTCAGTAAGTGCTAAATAAGCAGCGGGTACTGGAAGAACAGATATTGGTCCAAGATGTAAACGACAAAGGGGGAGGGCATGTTGGAGGGAAGAAATCTGCTTATAGGAATCCAAGTTTCTTCTTCAGGGGAGTGGGGAATGCATTGGGTTCCCACATGCCAAGGCTGGACAAGGAACCGCCCTGGCGTAAGTCTCAGTGCATGTATTATCACTCCTACGGTCAGGAAGCGCAGGGAAGTCTTTGTAACGGAAGAGGCAGGGGGTGTCCCGTGGCAGGTCCTTGACGTTGATGAAGAAATGCCAGAGGATGGGGAAGGGAAAATGTTTCAAGTATACTGGACAGAGTATGGCAAGTACGTTCCCCAGGCCAGGCAGAGACCACTCTTGATCCTTCTCCCATAGCCTCCAAGTCTAGGTTCTCTCTGCCTCTGTATCCTCGTCGGCCTCCACAATGGAAGGTGGCCCTTTGGCTTCTTCTCCGCGGCCAGCCCGGCTCAACACCTCTATCCATCGCTGCCGGAGCTCCTCAGTCTCAGGGCTGAAATACCAGCACAGGTGGCTCTGGCTGATCCGGAAAGCGTGGCGCCGATCCACCCGTTCGCCCGGCTCAGGGAGACTCACCTCAAAGCCAATCAGAGGCATCGAGCGCTGGGCCTTCACGTCCTGCAGAATGACCGACAGGCAGGCCCAGTTGGAAGGGACAAAGAGCATGGAAGAAAAAGAAGCCAAGTTAGTCCAGACATTTATTTACCTAGCTTAGCATTCTTCCAACACTCAATGAGATGTTTTAAAGGGGTTCATTTTGGGGAATGACCACTCAACTCATCAGGTTGTCTTAGCCTACAGCTGCCCTCAGAATGAAGCATCTTCCCACGCCTAAAATGGCTAAATCCCATGGTTCCTCCCTGTTGGGCTCCCCTCCTACAAATGCACTTTCATCCCTATCTCACCCAGGGTTTTAACTTTTTAACATTTTACCTCATACATTTGGCCCACGCTCTGTGTCTGGTTTTACTGTGCTGTTTTATATTGTTGATTTTGTTATTTCATATTTTGTTATGATGTATTTTGTTATTGTGTGTTTATTATGTTGTATTATTTTGGACTTGACCTTATGTAAGCAGAGGCGGCCCTAGGTAATTTTCAAAGGTAAGCAAACAGTATTTTGGCGCCCCCCCCCCCCAACCAATCATTGATATATATTTTCTGTTCGTCGTGGGAGTTCTGTGTGCCATATTTGGTTCAATTCCATCATTGGTGGAGTTCAGAATGCTCTTTGATTGTAGGTGAACTATACATCCCAGTAACTACACTTGCCGCACTTGCTCCCTTGCCTGGCCCGCTTTGGGTCCAGAGGCGTGCCTGAAGACCCCGGCGTGTGCACCAAAAGTCACCTCTTCTCCTGACTTTCTCCTCAGCCATTGGGACCAAGAGAGAGAGAGAGAGAGAGGTGGAGATGCCCACCTTTCCTGAAGGTAGGCGCAAAAACAAAGGAGGGAGCGGAGGTGGGAGATACCAGCCGGAGGGGCTCTCTCTCTCTCTTGGTCCCAATGGCTGAAGAGAAAGTCAGGAGAAGAGCGACTTTTGGTGTGCCTCCGGACCCGAAGCGGGCCAGAAGCGGGGCGCAGCGGCTCTGCCCCTTGGCCCACCCGGGATTGGGGAGAGGAGAGGAGGCGGGTGGAGCGCCGGGGGATCGGGAAAGGGAGCCGGTCATGGGGAAGGGATCGAACACGGAGAACTATTGAGCCCCGGCTCTACTCGCGCACCAGGTGGCCAGGTGGAGCAGGAACAAGAGGGGCTAGGCCCGGCCCCTTTGGGAAGAGGATTGCCCGGCAGCGAGGCAAGAAAGCCGAGGCTCCCCCCGGACTGCTAGGGCTGTTGTGAGCTGAGGGGCGCTCCTTAAGTGGCGATCAAGGGGCATTTACAGAGGCGCCTCTGTGCCCCTAGCAAAAAAAAAGTGTTCTGTGACCGCTTACTTCGCGTAACGGACAAGCCGCCCCTGCCGCCCTGAGCCCGGCTCAACACCCTTTGGGGAGATGGTGGCGGGTTATAAATAAAGTGCATCATCATCATCATCATTATTATTATTATTAGCCAGATGGGCCAGTCTTTACATGGAGCAGTGAGTTTGCCTCTTAATACAATAAAACCAGGGCAACAAACATGGCCCCCGAACCATGGAAAGTTGCTAATGTACAAAACTTGAGTTGGTGGCAATAAATTCCAGAGATCATTGTTTTGGGTCTAAGATTACATTTCATTGATTTAAGATTGTTTGCTCGCCCCATCTCTCACCGAAAATTCTATCCCAATATATTACCTTGTTCATGCCCAGCATTATTTTTTAATTTTTAATTATCACATTTGGCCCAGCCATAGGTTTTAAATGCTTGTTTTTACTGTTACTGTTTGTTGTTTATTTTTTGTTTACGAGATTTATTTTGATTAGGTTCTTGTGGGTTTTTTCGGGCTATAGAGCCATGTTCTAGAGGCATTTCTCCTGACGTTTCGCCTGCATCTATGGCAGGCGAAACGTCTTTATTTTGATTGTTTTGTATTGATGTTTGTTATTGCTTTTATTATTGTTGTTCTATGGGCTCGGCCTCATGTAAGCCTCACCAAGTCCCTTGGGGAGATAGTAGCGGAGTATAAATAAAGTTTTATTAGTTTTATTATTACATTTGTAAACCAGCTGCCTACTCCATCTTAGAAGCCAGGCGCAGAACCTCCAATTTTGAAGGAAAGGATCCACCTCTTTCTTCTCATTTCATTTTTTTCTGTCATTTTTCCCCCTGTTGTATCCTCATTAAGGTTCAGAACAAGTGACAATGAATAAGAGAACAGATGGGCTGCTATACCTGTGGAGCTCCATAGATGTACAGCACCAGGGGTTCATTTTCAGGGATGACAAACCAGCCTTTGTGCCAGGCCTTCCCTCCTTTCTCCATGTAGTGCAAGAAGCTGCAGATGACACTGTTTTCTGCCACCACAGAAGCCTGTTTCTGCAGGGGAGAAGAGAAAGAGAGAGAAGGAAACTAATCAGGCCCTTCTATTCCACCAACAACAACCATTAAGGCAGCACAGGGGTGTACCTTTATACACACCATCAGTTGTGTTATTTTGAGGAAACCAACTGCGAAGGGCTTGCCCCAATTCAAAGAAAAGGGGTTTTCAGAAGAGAGAGAAGTTACGATTTATTATTTATTATTCTTAATGGAGCCACCAATTTGTAATGTGAGGTAATTTTGGGAGATTGGGCACACTGAACGCCGAATCAATGGAGATGAGGCAGTCTTAAAATCAAAGAGAACAAGTTTATTTTGAAACAAAGCGTATGGTTGCAGTTTGGTGATAAACTTGGAAGATACTTGGAGAACGTTACATATAACTTGGTTGCGATACAGTACAGACTTCTGATGTTACAACTTATAAATAACTTTTGCTGTGGTGAAGCACTTTATTAAACAATGTTTCCTGAGGTGAATAGTCTTCCTGTTTGATCCTTCCGTGATCAAACCTCAGATCTCTAGTTCACTTTTAACTACTGATCTAAACAAGCTTCTATTAGTCTTCTCTAACTAATGAAACTAATAAGGTTCCCCTTCAGCCTTCCTAAACTGAAGAAACTTCTGACTGTTCACAAACACTGCTTCTCTACTTCCCACTCTCTCTCTCTCAACACTTCATTCCCTGAGCCTAAACCCTGACTCTTCATTCCTCTGAGCCTAAACCCTGACTCTTCATTCCTCTGAGCCTAAACCCTGACTCTTCATTCCTCTGAGCCTAAACCCTGACTCTTCATTCCTCTGAGCCTAAACCCTGACTCTTCATTCCTCTGAGCCTAAACCCTGACTGACTTTAACTGTCGCTTTTCAACTCTCCTCTCTAAGCTCCTCCCACTTCTCTACAGCATCGTTTCCATGGTAACACACTCCTCACAGCTAGGCCGCTCCAGCATTAGGGCAACCAGTGCAAACACCAATACAGTTATAATCTTATCATTTACAATCAACTTCTGTACACCAACTATTACTCACTACTGAGCCATTAAGCTCATTGGGTGACCTTGGGGTGAACACCTCTCTCAAACTGACCTATCTCATAGTTTTGTTATGGAACATAGCAGAGGAGGAGAGCTGGGTATGTCAATGGAAAGAAAGCAGGATATTAATGTAACCAACACTGTCTATTCATGGTTCCCAGATGTGGGAATTGGGTAAGTGACCTTCCCAGGATAGGATCATACTTCTCCTTAAAGGAGCAGGTATGTCACTCAGAAATCTAGACTCATCCCTATCACTAAAGGCCCTGGTGGACTTTGCGACTTGGACATTTTTGGCCAACTTCAGCTGTACCACCAAATATAGACTTTCCCAGATGAGGATAATCTGACCACAACAGTCCTTGCAGTGAAAGGTCTCTGTTTAGATTTATTTATTTATTTATTTATTTATTTATTTATTTATTTGTCGTGTCAGTAGTAACCAGACAATTGTATTACATTTTTAACAATTTTTAACAAACAGACAAAACACAAAGTTTGCAAGCTTGGTAGCTGATTAAATGTCCTTTGATCAGTATCTGGCCACTTGGAGTGCCTCTGGTGTTGCCGCAAGAAGGTCCTCCATTGTGCATGTGGCAGGGCTCAGGTTGCATTGCAGCAAGTCGTCTGTAGTTTGCACTTCTCCACACTCGCATGTTGTGGCTTCCACTTTGTGGCCCCATTTCTTGAGGTTGGCTCTGCATCTCGTGGTGCCAGAGCGCAGTCTGTTCAGCGCCTTCCAAGTCTTCCAGTTTTCTGTGTGCCCAGGAGGGAGTCTCTCATCTGGTATCACCCATGGATTGAGGTGCTGGGTTTGAGCCTTCCACTTTTGGACTCTTGCTTGCTGAGGTGTTCCAGCAAGTGTCTGTAGATCTTAGAAAACTATTTCTTGATTTAAGTTGTTGACGTGCTGGCTGATACCCAAACAAGGGATGAGCTGGAGATGTCACTGCCTTGGTCCTTTCACTATTGGCTGCTGCTTCCCAGAGGATGTCAGGTGGTGCAATACCGGCTAGACAGTGTAATTTCTCCAGTGGTGTAGGGTGCAGACACCCCGTGATAATGTGGCATGTCTCACTAAGAGCCACATCCACTGTTTTAGTGTGGTGAGATGTGTTCCACACTGGGCACGTGTACTCAGCAGCAGAGTAGCATAGCGCAAGGGCAGATGTCTTCACTGTGTCTGGTTGTGATCCCCAGGTTGTGCCAGTCAGCTTTTGTATGATATTGTTTCTAGCACCCACTTTTTGCTTGATGTTCAGGCAGTGCTTCTTGTAGGTCAGAGCACGGTCCAGAGTGATTCCCAGGTATTTGGGTGTGCTGCAATGCTCCAGTGGGATTCCTTCCCAGGTGGTCCTAAGAGCTCGGGATGCTTGTCTGTTCTTGAGATGAAAAGCACATGTCTGTGTTTTAGATGGATTAGGGATCAGCTGGTTTTCCCTGTAATAGACAGTAAGAGCACCTAGAGCTTTGGAGAGCTTCTGTTCAACCATCTCAAAACTCCCTGCTTGAGCAGTGATGGCACGATCATCAGCATCTGTTTCGATTATTGCAGTGCACTCCATGTGGGGATGCCTTTTCTTTTTATTTGTGTGTAACATATTTACATTACATGTAATATTACTAATAACATTACAATATAATGGTATAGTGCAATATAGTAATATAGTAATATATAATACTGATATTGTACTATGCTAATAATATAATATAATGTATGAAAATATATCTTGTAAGCCGCTCTGAGTCCCCTTCGGGGTGAGAAGGGCAACATATAATTGCCGCAAATAATTAAATAAATAAATAAACTTTTGAGGCACCAAAATGTGTGTTAGTCAATAGAGAACCCTATTGAACCAACTTACTGCTAGACATTACCATAGAGTCAGCCTGGAGGACCTAGAAAATTGCTAGAGGGATCTTGTCTAGAAATTTGTTAGATCCCCGAATGCTATTTTAGGGTCACATCTGGTGAAAGCATTCCAAAGCATTAGGTGGAGGACCTGGAAAGTGCACATTTTTTTCAGATGCAGGTAGGTGAAACTATGGGTACAGGCCCCGTGGGTATGGAGGTAATACCTGTATAAAATTAATAAACAGAATGCAGTCACACATTGTGTAGCTTGTATACGCTTCCACTTTCCTTATGGGAGGGCTATACCAAGCCATATATGACCTTTCTTTCATCAGCCCACAAGCAGGCAAGTTTGCCCCTTATTTTGGGGCACAGCATCCAAAGGAAGAATCCTGGAGGGAGGGAGGAAGGGGATATTACAAGGAACAAACAGAGGAAGTTGCAAAGACTCTGCGTGACAAGCAGAAGGGAACATGAGAAAGCAAGAGGGAATTTCTCCAAGAAGTGTCCCCTGGAAGGAAATCAACAATGACTGCTTTCAGAAGTAGCCCTCTCTTTATTCACCTCAAGAAGGACATCATAGGATAATAAGGGACAATCTTACCTCCAGAATGGATCTTCGACGCTGGGGTGTGTTTGGGTGTGGTGAGGGGCTGGCAGGGGAGCCCTGTAGCATTGTGTAGCAGTCCATGCAGACACGGTTAGGCCGGTTGTTGTCATATACCAGCCGGGCCCGGAACTCTGAACATTTCCCACAGACAACCTAATACAAGGTAGACACATCAAGGTAGACATTTTCAAGATCATGTGGCATGAAAGTTGCTGTTTTCAGGGACAGCTTCCAAAATGCTCCAGCTATAGTCCTAAAAAGTAACTTTCCAAAGCTCTGAGTTACCTGTGACTACACTAGAACCATTTGAGATCTTCACAGCTTGATTTTACTTGATATATTAAAAGATATATAAAATGTTATATATATTAAAATGTGAACACATTTGGAGTTCAGGGAAAACAAACTTTGACATTTGGGAGTTGTAGTTGCTGGGATTTATAGTTCACCTACAATCGAAGAGCATTCTGAACTGCAACAATGATGGAATTGGGCCAAACTTCTCACACAGAATCCCCATGATAAGGAGAAAATGCTGTGTTTTCTGATGGTCTTTAGCGACCCCTCTGACACCCCTCGTGACCCCCCCCCCGTCCCAACCCACAGGTTGAGAAACACTGCCATAGTGGGAAATGGCTTAATGGCGTACAACAACGATTTAAAAAAATTGGTAGTGATGGTGGGATTAGTAATGACAAATGAGAAACACACAGCCCCACTCCTACAGGACACAGCCCCACTCCTACAGGACACTCACATGGCCACAGGCTCGGCAATGGTGCCTCCGCTTGGTAAGGGCGTTGAAGGACTCCTTGCACTGCATACACAGGGTCACCTCTTTTTCTCGGATTGGCGTGGGGGCCCGTCGGCCAAGCTCACACCCCTGTATGCAGAGGACAGTAGGTCAAGATGGTTCATACCTATCATATTTAGTATTTTAGTTATATGCATGTTCATACGATCACCCAAAATCATTACACATAAATAACTGTGTGGATGTATTGTCAAAGGCTTTCATGGCCGGAATCACTAAGTTCTTGTGGGTTTTTTCGGGCTATATGGCCTCTAGAACATGGCCATATAGCCTGAAAAAACCCACAAGAACGAACTGTGTGGATGTTTGCATCTTTAACAAGTACACACAAAAGACTACAGTCCTATTGTTTAGTCCCAGCCTGAATAAACCCATTGAATCAATTGCTGAATAGAGAATCAACATATAGAACACTCTAGACAAGACTAACAATATGATTTAGATTACCTGCTTCAAAAACTGCTCAAAACCTGGCTTCTGAGAGAGGCCAGAGGGGGTTTGGCTGAGTGGGTAACAGTGGTGGTGAATGCCTCCCTTCGGGAAGGCAAGATTCCAGCGAGCCTAAAACAGGCTATTATAAAGCCGCTGTTGAAGAAACCATCACTGGACCCCACTAAATTGGACAACTTTCGGCCTGTTTCCAATCTCCCCTTTTTGGGCAAAGTCATGGAAAGCGTGGTGGCCTCACAACTCCAGGTATTCTTGAGAGACACGGATTATCTGGATCCGGCACAGTCTGGTTTCAGACCGGGCATGGTACCGAGACGGTCTTGGTCGCCTTAGTGGATGATCTGCGCCGGGAGCTAGACAGGGGGAGTGTGTCCCTGTTGGTGCTCCTGGACCTCTCAGCGGCCTTCGATACCGTCGACCACGGTATCCTTCTGGGGCGCCTTGCGGAAATGGGTCTTGGGGGCATTGCTTTGCAGTGGCTCCGGTCATTTCTGGAGGGTCGCACCCAGAAGGTGTCATTGGGGGACTCCTGTTCCGCTCCACAACCTTTGTCTTGTGGGGTGCCACAGGGTTCCATACTGTCCCCCATGCTGTTTAACATCTACATGAAACCGCTGGGTGAGATCATCCGGAGTTTCGGGGTGCGGTGTCATCTGTACGCAGATGATGTCCAACTCTGTCACTCCTTTCCACCTGCTACTAAGGAGGCTGTCGAGGTCCTGAACCGGTGCCTGGCCGCTGTAATGGTCTGGATGAGGGCGAACAAACTGAAACTAAATCCAGACAAGACAGAGGTACTCCTGGTCAGTCGTAAGGCCGAACGGGATATAGGGTTACAGCCTGTGCTGGACGGGGTCGCACTCCCCTTGAAGGCGCAGGTTCGCAGTCTGGGTGTGACCCTGGATTCAGCGTTGAGCCTGGATCCCCAGGTTTCAGCGGTGACCAGGGGAGCATTTGCACAGCTCCGGCTTGTGCGCCAGCTGCGACCGTATCTCGGGAAGTCAGACTTGGCCACGGTGGTACATGCTCTTGTCACATCCCGCCTGGACTACTGCAACGCTCTCTACGTGGGGCTGCCCTTGAAAACGGCCCGGAAGCTTCAGCTGGTTCAGCGTGCGGCAGCCATGTTACTAACTGGAGCGGGTAGCAGGGAGCACACAACGCCCTTGCTGTCCCAGCTCCACTGGCTGCCGATTTGCTACCGGACCCAATTCAAGGTGCTGGTTTTGGCCTACAAAGCCCTAAACGGTTCCGGCCCAAAATACCTTTCTGACCGCATCTTGGCCTACGAGCCCACGAGGACCTTGAGATCGTCCGGGGAGGCCCTTCTCTCGGTCCCGCCGGCATCACAGGCACGGCTGGCGGGGACGAGGGAGAGGGCCTTCTCGGTGGTGGCCCCCCGGCTGTGGAACACCCTCCCGACACACATCAGACAGGCGCCCTCCCTCATGTCCTTTCGGAAGAACCTTAAGACCTGGCTCTTCGAGAGGGCATTTAATTAAGTGCTAAGAAACAGATAATACGGTAATGAGATCTGGAATGGTACAAGGCTGATGAGATTGGCTATGATTCTATTAAGAGACGAAGCGGATTTTTGTGTAGTTTGTAATTGTAATTGTTGCTATATGTTTTGACACTGGTTTGTAATTTGTCCTTTATATGTACTGTACACCGCTATGAGTCGCCCGTAAGGGCTGAGAATGGCGGTCTATAAGTGCCTCAAATAAATAAATAAATAAATAAACCTCAACATTCAGGTAAATATCTACAATTGTACGGTTTCTAATCCTCACAAGAACAGAGATAGCCATGAGAGAGTGTAGAGAACACTTGGTGAAATCTCAGGAGCCAGAGAAATAAATAAGAAATAAATGAGCAAACTTTCCAGTGGATTGAGAGAAATTATACTACAGTTCCTTTTTACAGTTCCTTTTCCTATTCATCAATTCTGCTCCCCAAGAAGCATCCCAAGTTATGCCAAATTCAACAAAAGTTATTTATTTATTATTTACCATATTTATATACCGCCATTCTCAGCCCAAGGGCGACTCAGGGCAGTTATGTCAATCTGCATAATGTATACCAGGGGTCCTCAAACTAAGGCCCAGGGGCCAAATACGGCCCTCCAAGGTCATTTATCCAGCCCTCGCTCAGGGTCAACCTGTCTGAAATTACTCAAAAGCACACAACAACAACAACAACAACAATCCTATCTCATCAACCTAAAGCAGGCCCACGCTTCCCACTGAAATACTAATAAGTTTATATTTGTTAATATTGCTCTTCATTTTAATTATTGTGTTGTTTTTAAGTGTTTGTTTTTTTTGCATTACAAATAAGATATGTGCAATGTGCATAGGAATCAATTCATTTTTTTTCAAATTATAATCCGGCCCTCCAAGATTTTGCGGGATTGTGACCTGGCCCTCTGTTTAAAAAGTTTGAGGACCCCTGATGTATGCAAATGGCAGAGCACCCCTTTTTATATCTGGAGTATTTAAATCAAGATGCTGCCAACTTATGTTTTCTTTTAGTATGTGGCCAGGTTACATAGAGACCAATTTAAGCCACACAGACATAAGTTGAAGCACATTATCCCAGCACATTTTTATGTATTTTAGCAACTATTCTCTCCCACTCACGCAAGTGCACACATGGATAGAAAATGAGGAAAAGAGAAAAGAAGACTTACTGGCGAATTGGGTGGTGTTTCATCTTCACTGACCAGCTGCTTGAACATTTCCAGAGTCTGCTCATGCTTCTGGATTGTTGCCTGTATCGCCTGATGGTTAAAACAATAGAGAATTTGTGGTCACAGATAAAACGATCCTTGAAGTAGGAAGGCTAACAGAATCATTCTTCTTCAAAGGGGCGAGAAAGGGACCCTCAGGTTTCCATCTAATCCCAATTCCTATCTGGCACACATTTGAGAACGGGTGGAATAAAGATTAATTCTCGTGTCTCTTCTGCCAAATCTCTCACTCATTTTCACTCTCAGCTTCCTATTCTTCATATTATGCAGGGGGGCAGGCAAAACTGTTGTTGCATCAGAGGCAAACCAATGCATGCGTGCCCATCTAACCCCATGGGTCTATTGCACGTTCAGATTAATTCCATCTGAAACTCCTGGCAAGACCTGCAATGCCTGTTGGTTTGGTGGACCATGTTGCCAGCACCCACAGTGCCAACACAGCAACCGGACAGCGAGTGTGCATGAGCTTGTGCTATTCATTCTGCAATCACTGGATCTTAAATGTGAGGTTTTGGTGGGAATCCAGACTTGGTCATCTTCAAAGATTTAACGCTCCTAGCAGTTGCTACTATCAGAATGCCTAGTCCCTAGATGATCTAGGCCAGGGGTAGGGAACCTTTGGCCCTCCAGCTGTGGTGGACTTCAACTCCCACAATTCCTTGAGGCTCAGCATTCGCCCCAAAGGCTTACCTTGGCCCAATGCCGAGCCTCAAGGAATTGTGGGAGTTGAAGTCCACCACAGCTGGAGGGCCAAAGGTTCCCTACCCCTGATCTAGGCAATTGTTACGCAGCCTTACACTTTATCCCATGTCCTTGTCCCATGGTTACATCTTTGCACTTATCTTATTCCCTGTCCGATCGTTTACAGCCTGGCCATGTTTACGGTTGCTCACTGCCATTGGTTGATGAGCACTGCCATTGGTTGATTATATAGTCTTATGAGGCAGGTGAGAAAGGTTGTCATTACCTGGATCCAGTCTCGTTTCTCCTCTTCAGTCCTGAGGAAGAATGACAAATGTTGTTGGATATGCAAATAGAGAATTTGCTGCAGACACAGCCCAGGCTCTGGGAACCTATGAGATAGTGTTGTACTCCAATTCCCACCAATCCCACCTATGTTGACCAAAAGTGCAGGATCATAGGAGTTATCATTCATCTAATCTTCAGATCTCGAGAAAGCCTGGTCTGGGTTGTTAGCAGGATCAGAAATTACCTGGCTCAGACTTTTCCCTCATCAGAATTGCTCTGTGATATGTCCGCCTCCCCTGAGAAGTGGACATACTGGGTGGGATGATGAGAGTTGTGATCAAAACCATCTAGATAGCATTGGGTTGGGGAAAACTAAGCTAGAGGATGCAGAGTTCCCATGGAAGTCTCTCAGTGGAAGGTAGGATAAAGTAAAGAAGAGGGCTACTGGAATGGCAGCCGTATTGTCCAATGAAGGACAATATTTTGAGTAAGGGTTATATTAAAGTTACATAGGGCTTATTCCTATTAGGAGCCCCCAATGGCGCAGTGGGTTAAACCCCTGTGCCGGCAGGACTGAAGACCAACAGGTCGCAGGTTTGAATCCGGGGAGAGGCGGATGAGCTCCCTCTATCAGCTTCAGCTCCTCATGCGGGGACATGAGAGAAGCCTCCCACATCAAAAACATCAAATCATCCAGGCATCCCCTGGGCAACGTCCTTGCAGACGGCCAATTCTCTCACACCAAAAGCGACTTGCAGTTTCTCAGGTCGCTCCTGACATGACAAAAAAATAAAATAAAAATAGGACTTATTGTCTGTACCTGGCCTGAAGTTCAAGGGATCTTTGCTTTCCAGATACAAGGAAGGTCCGGGGCACATTGAGGCTGCTGGTCTCTTTCAGCTGCAGAATAAGAAAACAACAGAGAAACATATATCAAAGATTCATATAGGGCCAATTGAAATATCAAAGGAAATTTTTGTGCACAGACAAGTCAAACAGTCTGATGGAGATAGGAAAAGGTCCTTTTTGTGGTTTCAAGTCCAAGCCAGGGAATTATTTATTTATTATTTTATTTATTTATTTATTTACATCATTTGTATCCCATCCATTTCAGCCCAAAGGCAACTCAGGGTACAGATTGGCAACAATTAGATGCCCCATATATATATATATATATATACACACACACACACACAAACACACACACACACACATACATATATCAGTTAAAAGCAATTTAAACACATCATAAATACATATAAAATCCATAAAACTATTTAAAAAAACTATAAAAATAAATATTTTCCAGTCCAAATCGTAGTTTTATTGTTTTCCCTAAGTCTCTAACTAAATTATCAGCATTTTAACAGCAGAACAGAGAAAAGGAATTAAAATGCTGCAATTAAATGAGTGGATGGGTAAAGCATGTAGAACTGATAATTTACAAACTAGTAAAACCTAAGTTCTTCACACCAAAGCTTAGTACACTCTTCCATTAGAAGTTCCTACAACCAGCCTCTGATTCAGTCAAGAGTTCTGGAAAAAAAAATTGGTTTCCATTCGTATCTGCCCTTGACACAGCTAGCTGGAAATATAAAACACCACCCAGATTTTCCTTAAGCTTTAATTTAGACTTTGCATTTATTATTTGATAATTAAAGTACATGCACACACATGCAGACACGCAAAATAAGAAATGGTGTCACATAGCTCTTCATTGCCAATCACTACACCCTCTTCTTGAGTCAATTGTATGTATGCATGTTTTATTGCTATTTAAAGGTTCTTGTCCCAGGAGTCCCCCCCCCCCCCCAATGTATGAAAGTTTGTTTATTTTCCTGTCTCTCTATGAGTTCTCCCTTACAATTAGTTCTGCCCCCTTATCTCACCCGGAGTTTTAAAATTATTTTATGTATATGCTGTCCGCTCTCTGTCATTACCGTATATAGTCGAGTATAAGCCGACCCGAATATAAGCCGAGGCACCTAATTTTATCACAAAAAAACTGGGAAAATATATTGACTCGAGTATAAGCCGAGGGTGGGAAATGCATCCACTATGGGTCAATTTCAAAATAAAAATAGATACCAATAAAATCACATTAATTGAGGCATCAATAGGTTAAAGGTTTTTTAATATTTACATAAAACTGTAATTTAAGATAAGACTGTCCAACTCTTATTAAACCATTATTCTAACCTCCTTCAATGTAAATGTACTTATAATTAAAATAATAAATATAATACAAATAATAGAGTAAAATAATGAAAATGCAATAAAAACAGTAATAATAGAGTAAAATAATAAATGTAGTAATAATAGGGTAACATACTGTAAATGTAATAATAATAATAATAATAATATATTAAAATAAATATAATAACAATAGGGCAAAATACTGTAAATGTAATAATAATAATAATAGAGCAAAATAATAAATAGAATAATAATAGAGCAAAATAATGTAAATATAATAATAATAGAGTAAAATAATAAATGTAATAAAATAATATTTTTTTTGTCGTGTCAGGAGTGACTCCTGTTGTGAGAGAATTGGCCGTCTGCAAGGACGTTGCCCAGGGGATGCCCGGATGATTTGATGTTTTTATCATCCTTGTGGGAGGCTTCTCTCATGTCCCCACATGAGGAGCTGGAGCTGATAGAGGGAGCTCATCCGCCTCTCCCCAGATTCGAACCTGTGACCTGTGGGTCTTCAGTCCTGCCGGCACAGGGGTTTAACCCACTGCGCCACCAGGGGCTCCTTAATAAAAGAATACTAATAACAGAATAAAAGAATAAATAACCTTGACTCGAGTATAACCCGAGGGGAGCTTTTTTAGCCTAAAAAAGGGGCTGAAAAACTAGGCTTATACTCAAGTATATACAGTATATTTGGTTTCTATGTTCTGTGTATATTATTCTATATGTTTTGATGTATTACACTTTAATGTTCTATTGTTTATTTTCTTACAATTTGTATTTTTATATTGAAGTTGTTGCTCGGGCTTGGCCCCATGTAAGGCACTCCGAGTCCCCGTTGGGGAGTTGCTGGCGGGGTATAAATAAAGATTATTATTATTATTATTATTATTATTATTATTATTATTATTATTATTATTAAACATCTGCCCTTACTGTGGATTGTGAAAAGTAAGATTTGACTGTTGAGTTGAACGCACAATTTAAGACATCAGAATGAAAAAATAAACATTGAAAAAGAAGCTCCCAACATTGTCTAAAACAAACACAGTTCAAACCAATCAGCTGCAAGGAAGTCCTGAGTAATCATGTCTCATGACCTTGCATGTCCAGTCCAGCCCAAAGACTTGCCTTCTTTCACCTTTGAAAACCATAGTCTGACTCAGACCCCACCACACTGGTTTAGTTTCCTCTTTTCACGCACAAACACCAGCGTCATCAGAAGGAAACATCCCAGGGACAGTTCTTTCCCTCCCAATATATCTCCAGTTTTAATGTAGAAAGCTTGATATTTATTAGTAATCCAGAAGCTGGAAATCTGAATGCCCCCTTCCATTACTACTTCTTTCTCTTACCTCCATCCCCTCTACATCTATGCGAGCACGGACTCCAAATTTCTGGCCAATGAGACGAAGCTTTGGCACGCAGTACAGCAAGCGATCATTGAACTGGAAGACAGAAGGGGAAAGGGGTTAAAAATGCAACCATACAAGAGGACTCTCCCTCCCATGCTCTCTCTTTTGAGGCATACAAAATGGGGGATTAAGGTGGGCAACAAACTCCCATCAGCTCCTCTCACCAGGATCAGGTACCGGTCTTGCGTTGTTCCATTTTTGGCAGAAAGCTTGAGGATGTGCCCTTCTTTGATGAGTTCATTTGTTGGACTGACGATGTCTTCCTCACCTCCAAGCAGCTCATAGACCTTCAGCAATGAGTGCATTCTCTCCTTGAAAGGGTTATTACCATTGATCAATAACAATTCACCCCACGTAGATTACTGCAACACTCTCTACATGGGGTTGCCTCTGAAGACTGCCCGGAAGCTGCAATTACTCCAGCGCTCGGCAGCCAGGCTACTGACGGGAGCTGAGTACAGGGAGCGCACAACTCCTTTGCTGCACCAGCTCCACTGGTTGCCAATTAGCTTCCGCGCAAAATTAAAAGTGCTGGTTTTAACCTATGCAAAGGTGGTGGTGGTGGTAGGTTAAAACCAGGACTTTAAGATCTTCCGGAGAGGCCCTGCTCTCGGTCCCACCACCTTTGCATAGGTTAAAACCAGCACTTTTAATTTTGCGCGGAAGCTAATTGGCAACCAGTGGAGCTGGTGCAGCAAGGGAGTTGTGCGCTCCCTGTATTCCGGCCCAGTTTACCTGTCCGAATGTATTCTCCCCTATGAACCATCAAGGACGTTAAAATCTTCCGGCGAGGCCCTGCTCTCGGTCCCACCACCTTCGCAAGTGTGTTTGGTCGGAACGAGAGACAGGGTCTTCTTTGTGGAACTCTCTCCCAAGCGAGATTAGATCTGCCCCCTCCCTCTTGTACTTCAGGAGGCTAGTGAAATCCTGGTTATGGAACGAAGCATTCCCAGAATAATGGCTGAGACTGGTTACAGACCAAAGTGAGTAACCACATATGCACACTGAGTTGAACATGATTTTACCTTGGCGATTTGGCATATACCGTATATACTCGAGTATAAGCCGACCCGAATATAAGCTGAGGCACCTAATTTTACCACAAAAAAACTGAGAAAACAGATTGACTCGAGTATAAGCCGAGGGTGGGAAATGCAGCCGCTACGGGTAAATTGCAAAATAAAAATAGATCCCAATTAAATTACATTAATTGAGGAATCGGTAGGTTATATATTTTTGAATATTTACAAACATGGTAATTTAAGATAAGACTGTCCAACTCTGATTAAATGATTATTTACCGTCTTCAATGTAATGTGCTTATGTATCCTTCCAATAATAATAGAGTAACATAATAAGTGTAATAAGAATAATAATAAAAAGAGTAAAATAATGAATGTAGCAATAACAATAATTATGCAGTAAAATAATAAATGTATAATAATAGAGTAAAATGTTTTAAATGTGTCATAGTGTTATTGTCTAATGTTTATTGCTATTGTTTTAATGTTTATTGCTTGTTTTATGAGTTTATTTATTGTTGTATTTGTTATGCTGTTGTTTTGTTGATGTGTTGGGCCTCTTGTAAGCCGCACCGAATCCTTCGGGAGATGTTAGCGGGGTATAAATAAAGGTTTATTATTATTATTATTATTATTATTATTAAAATGATAAATGTAATAATAATAAATAGAATAAAATAATAAATGAAATGAAAATGAAAATGAAAATGAAAATGAAAATAATAATAATAATAATAATAATAATAATAATAATAACAACAACAGAGTAAAATAATAAATAACCTTCACTCGAGTATACGCCGAGGGGGACTTTTTCAGCCTAAAAAAAGGGCTGAAAAACTAGGTTTATACTCGAGTATATACAGTATTTTATCTATACGTATTTTAATCTTGTGTTGTTGTATGATGTTTTAACTCGTATTAGTAGCATTGAATCCTTGGTGTAAGCCGGTCTGAGTCCCTCTACGGAGGTGAGAAGATCGGGATATAAAAGTTTTAAATAATAAATAAATAAATAACTTGTGCTCCTCTGATCAGGCATGTGAAAATTCATAGTATCCCAAGCCAGCCAAGTAATTTTGGATCAGGAGACAGAAAATTCCACAAGTGCCTTTTCCCACCCATCACCCCAGGCAATGAAAATATATTAACAGAATAATTAACAAGTTGTTGCCCTGCCACAATGACCAAGATCTGCTACTTAAGATGGATACCTCAACCTGCCTACTAGTAGAGCTGGTCCTAGATCAATGACTTTGTATATCCTCTATAATTACTTCTTCAACAGATAGGTGTGCCATAATGTAGGGTTGGGCAGGACGTAATTTAAGATCTATCAGTACGTCTTTGAGGAATATGCTTTAAAATATTCCTTGAAGATGCTTTTTGATTCTAATTTATTTTCAGAATAGATTGTGCCTCTCCTGATCTATGCCACCAACTGAAATAATAATAATAATTATTATTATTATTATTATTTTATTTATTTATTTACAGTATTTATATTCCGCCCTTCTCACCCCGCAGGGGACTCAGGGCAGATTACAATGTACATATACATGGCAAACATTCAATGCCATAGGCACACAACATATATAGACAGACACACAGAGGCTTTTTAACATTCCAGCTTTTTCATGAGGGTATTCTGGCCACCAGGGGAGCTGTCGCTTTACCGTCCATTTGTGACACTGATGAAGGACTTCCTAATTCTTTACATGCTTGCTGGAGATTTTTATGGCGTCGTAAATTAGCCTCCCCACATAAGCGGTACCTACATTCCTACTTGACAGATGCAACTGTCTTTCGGGCTGCAAAGGTCGATAGCAAGCTACACAAATTGGTCGGAAGCTCTATTATCCAGCTGAAATAAAACTGCAGATGAATGGAAGCAAAGTAAACACCATTCAGTTGTGGTATTCAAAGCGAGTTAGTGGGCTCAGAAATTATTTTGGTTTTAAGGTTATGTTTTTTCCACTTGGATCCAGAGGACAGCTCTTGTCATCTGGAGGCAGGGAAAAAGCATGGAACTCAGCAAGCCTGTGGTCCACCCCTGTTATGGATTATTGTTGCACCCGGAGTTGGGAAATCCAAATTGCTTGATAGTAAAGTTCATCCAGGACAACCTTTTCTCTCCACTTAACCTGGGGGGAGGCCAAGGGACAGTTCCATCTAGTCTCCTGTGCTATTCCAATAATATAATATAATATAATATAATATAATATAATATAATGCACAAAACTAAAAAGGGAAGGAAATACATAGAATCATAGAATCCTAGAGTTGGAAGAGACCTCATGGGCCATCCAGTCCAACCCCATTCTGCCAAGAAGCAGGAATATTGCATTCAAAGCACCCCTGACAGATGGCCATCCAGCCTCTGTTTAAAAGCCTCCAAAGAAGGAGCCTCCACCACACTCCGGGGCAGAGAGTTCCACTGCTGAACGGCTCTCACAGTCAGGAAGTTCAGATGGAATCTCCTTTCTTGTAGTTTGAAGCCATAGTTCTGTGTCCTAGTCTCCTTGGAAGCAGAAAACAAGCCTGCTCCCTCCACCCTGCGGCTTCCTCTCACATATTTATACATAGCTATCATGTCTCCTCTCAGCCTTCTCTTCTTCAGGCTAAACATGCCCAGCTCTTTAAGCCGCTCTTCATAAGACTTGTTCTCCATTATTTATTTATTTGGTAGTTTTGTATACCGGTCTTCTCACCTCCATTCGAGGGACTCAGGCCGGTTTCCAACATCAAAATTACAGACCGTCATTAAAACATCATATTTCTAAATCACACTAAAACATTAAAACATTGAAACAATTAAAATGGCAAAAATACAATCATATGATTACAGTGGTCAGTCATCATCAAAGTCATTATTTGTCGTCATCCATCCATATCACAGGATCATGGTTCATTCGTTGAATGCCAATCCCCAAAGCCAGGTTTTCACCTGTTTCCTGAACGTTAAGATCGAAGGGGCAGTTCTGATCTCCAGTGGAAGGGAGTTCCAGAGTCGACGGGCCACCACCGGGAAGGCCCTGTCTCTCGTCCCCACCAGCCGTGCATGTAAGGCCGGTGGGATCGAGAGCAGAGCCCCTCCAGACGATCTTAGTAATCTTGATGACTCATAGGGGAAGCTTGCAAGCCTTGTGTGCCCTCTCTCACTATTAAATGGATACAATGGACCTTTATATGTATGCAGAGAAGGTTCCTTGACACTGAGTTCTGTTCTCTTCCCAATTTTAAGTAAACAAGGAAGCAGTTTCGTCTCATATTGGTAGGCAAGATGTATCAGAGTTGGGCTTTCTGTCCTGCTGTGCTCTAACCCCAATACTGTACTCAGTGCTCCTGCATAGCTAGCTTTAGTGTACTCATGGTAGCTTCCTAGTTCTGAGAAAGGACACCTCCACCCCAGGTCCCTTAACTCTGGTACCAACAATTACTCCAGCGCTTACCATTTTGCGGATGGCTGCATTTGAGTGCTCTGCTGCAGTGGCAATAAGTTCTAAGGATTCTAAGGATAAGGAAAAGAGAAAAGTAGAGTCTGCATTACAAAGTTATCCCTACTCCATACAACTCCATATCTAAAAACAGAACATATCGTGCTGTGGCATTTAGACTCCTGTAAACGTCAAGTCATGCAAGTGTGGTTACCAGAATGATGCCACTTGTTTTGGGTGCCCAACATTGAGATGACTAAAGTTACAGATTTCTCTTTTATGTTAGAGACCTATACTTAGGAGAAAATGTTGATCATTTCCGCTACCTTGGCAGCCACCTCTCCACCAAAGTCAACATCGACACCGAAATATAACACCGCCTGAGCTCTGCGAGCGCAGCATTTTTCCGAATGAAGCAGAGAGTGTTTGAGGACCGGGACATCCGTAGGGATACCAAGGTGCTTGTTTATAGAGCTATTGTCCTCCCAACCCTGCTATACGCCTGAGAGACGTGGACTGTCTACAGATGTCACATGCAACTCCTGGAACGATTCCATCAGCGCTGCCTTCGAAAAATCCAGCAAATCTCTTGGGAAGACAAGCGAACAAATGTCAGCATGCTGGAAGAAGCAAAGACCACCAGCATTGAAGCGATGGTCCTCCGCCACCAACTCCGCTGGACCGGCCACGTTGTCCGGATGCCCGACCACTGTCTCCCAAAGCAGTTGCTCTACTCTGAACTCAAGAACGGAAAACGGAATGTTGGTGGGCAAGAAAAGAGATTTAAAGATGGGCTCAAAGCCAACCTTAAAAACTGTGGCATAGACACTGAGAAGTGGGAAGCCTCCAGCTGGAGGTCAGCTGTGACCAGCAGTGCTGCAGAATTTGAGGAGGCACGAATGGAGGGCGAAAGGGAGAAGCGTGCCAAGAGGAAGGCGCATCAAGCCACCCCCGATCAAGACCGCCTTCTACCTGGAAACCAATGCCCTCACTGCGGGAGAAGATGCAGAGCAAGAATAGGGCTCCACAGCCACATACGGACCCACAAGAACACTGGAAGACAATCCTCCTCGGAAAACGAGGGATCGCCTAAGTAAGTAAAGTATACTTAGGAGACTCTCCTATGCTTTGTAGACCTCCCTGGCCTCCCAGGAATCAAACCTACTATGAATCTATATAAATAAAAATGTAATGTTCGTTTGTGGGATTAACAGAACTCAGAAACCACTGGACGAATTGACAACAAATTATCTAAAGCAATCTATGTCCTTCACTCAAAAAACAAAACAAAACAAAATTAACCGGAAAGAACTTAAACCCCCCCAAGCCTAAATGACTATCAGAGCGTGCATTAAAAGAACACCCTCCTCCGCCTCTCCCTCCTGCAGGAGGGGGGAAAAAACTCAACAGCTGAGAGAGGGAGGGAAAAGTGGCCAGTATATCCCTCTTGCTAACCCCTGCCTCTCTCTTTCCAAAGGATTAGAAACAATACAGTCGCAGCAATAAAATCATCTTGTGGTCAATGTTCGCCAATTCGTAAATCCATAATCGATATTAGGTTGACACTTTGCCACTTCAGTTGTGTATTGATAGCTTAGAAACCAGCTCTTCCTCTTTTCTTTCTTTCCCATTTCTCCACAATGGACCACAGGAACGCGTGGCTGGGTACAGCTAGTTACTAATATAAAAAGAGTATGCGGCCAAGAGAGGTAACCACTAGGTCATCTCAGGTGAGTTGGATTCACGACCTTGTTTGCCTTAGTCTCCTAACTCTACACATTTCTGGAGAATGTCTCTTGGAGAATCATCCAGCTAAATTATTTAGATCAAGCCAAGCAACTACAGAGTGGGGGAATGGGAGGGTCTTCATTTATTCCCATTGTCAGTACTTTCTGCATGAAAACAAAATGGCCTCCCACGCTCAGAAGGGTGACATTTCATTACATTTTCGGAGACCACTTTGAGTTGTCTTAGCTCCAGGAAAGAACTTTTTGAATCAGAAGTCAACTTCTGAACTGCTACGGGAAGACCTTGAGGTCCTCAAAATGATCTCTGGGAGCCACATTTTAGATGCTCAAAGAAAACCAGGGAGGAGTAGAGTCAACACTTGCAACCCATTCTAATAGGTTCACACCATATGGCCCTCCAAGTGTTTTGGACTTCAGCTCCCAGAATTCTTGTCCATTTTTCATAGACAAGTCAGCTTGAGTTTCTGGGAGTTGGGAGTCCCAGGCACCGGGAGGGCTACTACAGGCTCCTGTGGAGTTCCCTTCCTTAGCAACCTCCCCTGCCCACCCTTTGTCACCCTCTCTGATTGTACTCACTCTGGGCATCCTTGCAGTCAGGCGAGTCTGTAGGCAGCTTGAGGAGATAGTCCTTCAGCAGCAGCTCGTAGCGAGGGATTCTCTGGACAGGCTCCAGCATGTGGTGCTGCAGGGTCAGGTTCCCACAGATCTCTTCTCGCTGTAATAGAGAGCCATCTCAAGAGAGCTGTCTGTCTGGCTGTTCTCCAAAAGCAACATGCCTGCCCCCCTGAGGAAACTGAGATCGAGTCAGCTAGAGGCAGAATTCTCAGCACTGAGGGCACGTTTCTCCTTTCTGATCAATCTTTCAGACAACTCAGATCTTGGGTTGTTGTAGGTTTTTCCGGGCTATATGGCCATGTTCTAATGTCTCTAGAACATGACCATATAGCCCAAAAAACCTACAACAACCCAGTGATTCCGGCCATGAAAGCCTTCGACAACACATTGAACTCAGATCTTGTTTCAATCAGGGGTAGGCCAAGGGATTTTGGAGCACACCTTCTGCTCCTCATCCCAAAACAATGGTTCCACCTCCCAAATGCTAGTGATGAGTGTAAGGAAAGACTTCTCATATTTCTACAGAGAATTTTCCCTGGGTTTTTCTTTTCTCTTTGGGGACTAAATCAAAACAGGCTGAATGAATAAAAGCTCAATGAATAAAGAGTGCCTTGGACTGCGAGAAGATCCAACCAGTCCATCCTCCAGGAAATAAAGCCCAACTGCTCATTGGAGGGAAGGATACTAGAGACAAAGTTGAAGTACTTTGGCCACATCATGAGGAGACAGCAAAGCCTAGAGAAGACAATTATGCTGGGGAAAGTGGAAGGTAAAAGGAAGAGGGGTCGACCAAGGGCAAGATGGATGGATGGCATCCTTGAAGTGACTGGACTGACCTTGAAGGAGCTGGGGGTGGTGACGGCCGACAGGGAGCTCTGGCGTGGGCTGGTCCATGAGGTCACGAAGAATCGGAGACGACTGAACGAATGAACAAGAAGAAGAAGAAGGAGGAGGAGGAGGAGGAGGAGGAGGAGGAGGAGGAGGAGGAGGAGGAGGAGGAGAGCAGAAGAGAAAACTGGTGAAAGAAGGCTCTCCATGGACAGTTCCTGGAAAAATTGAGAGCCAAATTGACAAAGAAAAACCATGGCTGTGGCTCACAAGTAGAACTCTGAAAAAGGAGACAGAGGGCATGATTCTGGCAGCCCAAGAACAAGCCATTCGAACCAATGCCATCAAAGCCAGAATTGAAAAGTTGACAACAAATCCCAAATGTAGACTCTGCAAGGAAGCAGATGAAAAAATAGATCACATCCTGAGCTGCTGCAAGAAGATCGCGCAGACAGATTACAAGCAGAGGCACAACACCATTGCTCAAATGATTCATTGGAACTTGTGCCACAAATACCTCCGACAAAGAACTGGTGGGATCACAAGCCGGAAAAAGGTACAGAGAATGAACACGTCAAGCTACTCTCGGACTTCCGGATTAAGAAAGACAGAGTTTTGGAGCATAACACTCCTGATCTCACGATTGTGTTAAAAAACAAAGTATGGATTGTCGATATTGCAATCTCAGGTGACAGCAGGATTGGTAGAGAAACAACTGGAAAAGATGATACGATATGAGGATTTAAAGATCAAACTGCAAACACAGTGGCACAAGCCAATAAAGGAGGTCCTGGTGGTGGCTGGCACACTGTGTGCAGTGCCTAAAGACCTTGGCCTGCACTTAAATACAATCGGAACTGACAAGATTACCATCTGCCAGCTGCAAAAGGCCACCTTACTGGGATCTGCATGCATTATTTACCGATACATCACACAGTCCTAGACACTTGGGAAGTAAGTGTCTGAAGTGTGATCCAATACAAGAGCCAGCAGAGTGTCTGCTGTGGACTCATCTTGTGGTGTTTCAAATAATAATAATAATAATAATAATAATAATTATTATTATTATTATTATTATTATTATTATTATTATAATTATTATTATTATTTATAACCCGCCACCATCTCCCCTGGAGGGGACTCTGGGCGGCTAAGATGAGGCCAAGCACAAAATAATACAATATGATTGATCGCTCAATTAACAAAAACACATCAACAAAATATGAAATAACGAATAAAATCAACATTATTAAATAGCAGGATAAAATCAGACACAGAGGGTGAACCAAATGTCTGAGGTAAAATATTAAAAGGTTAAAACCCTGGGTGAGATAGGGATAAAAGTGCATTTGTAAGATAGGAGTCAGACAGGGGTAAGTAGTGAGATTTGGCCTTTGTAGGGGACAGGGGAAGGTGCTTTTTTCTGAGGGCAGCTACAGGTTAAAATGACCAGATGGGTTGAGTGCTCACTCTCCAAAGGCACATCGGAAGAGCCAGGTTTTTAGGTCCTTCTTAAAAGCAGCTAGGGTGGGGGCTTGCCTGATCTCCCTAGGTAGCGAGCTCCAAAAGTGGGGGGCCACAGCGGAGAAGGCCCTCTCCCTTGTTCCCACAAGTCGAGCCTGTGATAGGGGAAGGGGCGAGAGAAGGACCTCCTCAGAGGATCGAAGATATCATGCATGTTTGTGGTAGGAGATGCGGTCAAAAAGGTAGACAGGCCCCAAACCGTTCAGGGCTTTGTAGGTAATAACCTGCACCTTGAATTGGGACCGGAAAATAAATAGCAGCCAATGGAGCTCCTTAAACAAAATAAATGCTTCAAACGCCTGGGGTCAGAAAAATATATGTCTCACAACTAGATATAATTGCGTTAGTAGATAGTTCTATGTGGATAGTTCCAACTTGTTGGTGTGGTTGATCTTTTCCACAGAGAAAAAACTTGGTGCAGTATCTTGGGAAACCCCCTGGGACCAAACTCACCTGTACTTCATGGATGATGCTTTTGAACTGTGTGGAGCGTTCCATCCAGGTGTTGACCAGCTCCATCGCTCGGTCAAAATTCTTGACATACTCGCCATACATCTTAAGGAACGGAGCCAGTTTTTGGAGGATGTCTCCAATGCGGGGGTGTTGGTCCCTGTGAGAATGGAAGTGAAAACAGAGAGGAAGAGAACATAAGACTTTAGCCAAGAGGGAAAATATTCCTCGAAGAAAACCTTCCTGATTTGATCTCTGAGATCAAATCATTCTTTCTAGCCAGAAGTCTGAGTCAGAAGCAATGGACTAAACTTTAATAGGGGGAGCAGAGAAAACATAGGTGTCAGGTTGGATTGGATAGTTACGAGAGTTGAATGAAAAATAATGCCTCCACCTTCGTAACTCCTCAACAGACGGCAGTACTGGTTTATTTATTTATCGTGTCAGGAGCAAACCAAACTGTTGTATTGCATGTTTAACAAAACAAACAAACAAAGAGACAAAACACAAAGTTTGCAAGCTTGGTAGTTGATTAAATGTCCTTTGACCAGTATCTGGCCACTTGGAGTGCCTCTGGTGTTGCCTCAAGGAGGTCATCCATTGTGCATGTGGCAGGGCTCAGGTTGCATTGCAGCAGGTGGTCAGTGGTTTGCTCCTCTCCACATTCGCATGTCGTGGACTCCACTTTGTAGCCACATTTCTTAAAGTTGGCTCTGCATCTCGTAGTGCCAGAGCGCAGTCTGTTCAGTGCCTTCCAAGTCACCCAGTTTTCTGTGTGCCCAGGGGGGAGTCTCTCATTTGGTATCAGCCACTGATTGAGGTTCCAGGTTTGAGCCTGCCACTTTTGGACTCTCGCTTGCTGGGGAGTTCCAGCGAGTTTCTCTGTAGATCTTAGAAAACTATTTGTTGATTTAAGTCGTTAATGTGCTGGCTGATACCCAAACAAGGGATGAGCTGGAGATGTCACTGTCTTGGTCCTTTCACTATTGGTTGCTACTCCCTGGCGTATGTCAGGTGGTGCAATACCAGCTAAACAGTGTAATTTCTCCAGTGGTGTAGGGCGCAGACACCCCGTGATAATGCGGCATGTCTCATTAAGAGCCACATCTACTGTTTTAGTGTGGTGAGATGTGTTCCACACTGGGCATATGTACTCAGCAGCAGAGTAGCATAGCGCAAGGGCAGATGTCTTCACTGTGTCTGGTTGTGATCCCCAGGTTGTGCCAGTCAGCTTTCGTATGATATTGTTTCTAGCACCCACTTTTTGCTTGATATTCAGGCAGTGCTTCTTGTAGGTCAGAGCACGGTCCAGAGTGACTCCCAGGTATTTGGTGTGCTGCAATGCTCCAGTGGGATTCCTTCCCAGGTGATCCTCAGAGCTCGGGATGCTTGTCTGTTCTTAAGGTGAAAGCACATGTCTGTTAGATGGATTAGGGATCTTGTTCAGTACTCTCCTCTACAGTTCCATTTTGGCAGGAAGACTTAGCATTGAACAGTTGTGTTGTTAAAGTGCTAAGTATGGAACCCTGCACAGACGGTCGGTCAATGCGACTTAAGTGTGCAGTCATTGAATTCTTGACAGCAGAAGGTGTCACCTCAACATCTTTAAACTTACTCGCCCAATGACGCACAGTACTCACATCAACACAATCACCATAAACAGCTTGCATTCTCTGATGAATCTCCTTTGGGGTGACACTTTCTGCTGTCAAGAATTCAATGACTGCACATTGCTTAAATCACATTGACTGACCATCTGCACAGAGTTCCATACTTCGCACTTTGACAATACAACCATTCAATGCTAAGGCTTCCCGCCAAAATGGAACTGTAGAGGAGAGTCTACTGAACAAGCCAGTACCTGCTGCATACCGGTACTGCCATCATTTGAGGCGTTATGAAGGTGGAGGCATTACTTTTCATTCAACCCTCGTAGATATCTCGATAGTTGACAATGGAAGCCAGTCCTCCTCTGGAGTAAACGTGAAGCTTTACTGAGGCCCACCTGGGAATATGTTACTCTCAGGACACTCTTCTGGCATTCAAACTTTCTGTTAAAAACTTCCCCTAAATTACACTATTCCCTTATATAGCTGAGGCATGCAGTTTTAGTCAAGGTTCTTAGGAAAACAGGAACATTCCTGCGGAGGCTAGAATTAACCTGACTACAATTTTGTAACTTCTGCATTTCCTTAGGTTGAGAAAAGTAGCTGATCTAAGTGAATTTTTTCCTATGCTCACATCTGTCCAGAACAATAATACAACATTCTGGAGGTTGGGATGCACTCTGCCCATTTCAGCATTTTAATGCAGACGGCCCTTTAACCCTCATTTGGCTCTGTACATTAAGTAAACTAGGGCATTCTCAAAAGCTGCTTTTAGGATGGTGGGCAAAGTGCGGTCTGCAGATTGTATGCTACCCCTGGACCCCACTTTCTAGCTCTGAAGCCATCCACCAACCCCTCCAACTCCCCAGTTTAAAAAAAATCATTGCAGTTTTTGGCTTAAACTGTGAACCCCATCCCCGACTCAAATGCGCATGTTTTTAAACATGTAAAAATGTCTCCATCTCAGCATCCTACAAACTACCAAGAACCCTGTACTAGCTCTAGCAATTTCTGTTTTTCTCTTATTTATTTACTGTATTTGTATACCACCTTTCTCAGCCAATCAGCGACTCAAGGCGGTTTCCAACAAATCAGTATAGATAAAACATAATATAGATAAAAAAACTAAACAGTATAAGACAGTGGTTCTCAACCTGGGGTCCCCAAATATTTTTGGCCTACAACTCCCAGAAATCCCAGCCAGCTTACCCACTGTTAGGATTTCTGGGAATTGAAGGCCAAAAGCAATAAGAACAACATCATCAGCGTCTCATTATTCTCAAGCATTGTCCAATTCCATTGTCAGGTCATTCGATTTCCTATATTAGCTACTCTGTATTTGTAAACGCTTTTAACTTGCCTCCAAAACGTCAAGAGGGAGGGAGCAGATCTGATCTCTCTAGGGAGGGCATTCCATAGCCGAGGGGCCACCACTGAGAAGGCCCTGTTTCTCGTCCCAGCCAAACGTGCTTGTGACAAAGGCGGGACTGAGAGCAGGGCCTCCCCAGATGATCTTAAAGTCCTCAATGGTTCGTAAGGGGAGATACGTTTGGACTGTTAAGTTGGGCCAGAACCGTTTAGGGCTTTATTGACCAAAGCCAGCACTTTGAATCAGGCCCGGTAGCAAACTGGCAGCCAGTGGAGCTGGTGCAACATGGGGGTTGTATGCTCCCTGAGCGCCGCTCCTGTTAACAACCTGGCTGCCGTTCGTTGGACTAGTTGAAGCTTCCGGACCGTCTTCAAAGGCAACCCCACATAGAGAGTGTTGCAGTAGTTGCTCTGACCTACAAGAAGCACTGCCTGAACATCAAGCAAAAAGTGGGTGCTAGAAACTATATCATACGAAAGCTGACTGGCACAATCTGGGGATCACAACCAGACACAGTGAAGACATCTTCCCTTGTGCTATGCTACTCTGCTGCTGAGTACGCATGCCCAGTGTGGAACACATCTCACCAAACTAAAACAATGGATGTGGCTCTTAATGAGACATGCCGCATTATCACAGGGTGTCTGCGCCCTTCACTACTGGAGAAATTACACTGCTTAGCCGGTATTGCACCACCTGACATCCACTGGGAAGTAGCAGCCAATAGTGAAAGGACCAAGGCAGTGACATCTCCAGCTCATCCCCTGTTTGGGTATCAGCCAGCACGTCAATGACTTAAATCAAGAAATAGTTTTCTTAGATCTACAGAGACACTCACTGGAACACCTCAGCAAGCGAGAGTCCAAAAGTGGCAGGCTCAAACCCAGAACCTCAATCCGTGGGTGATACTAGATGAGAGACTCCCCCCATGGCACACAGAAGACTGGGCGACTTGGAAGGTGCTGAACAGACTGCGCTCTGGCACCACGAGATGCAGAGCCAACCTTAAGAAATGGGGCTACAAAGTGGAATCCACGACATGTGAGTGTGGAGAAGAGCAAACCACTGACCACCAGCTGCAATGCAACCTGAGGCCTGCTACATGCACAATGGAGGAACTTCTTGCAGCAACACCAGAGGCACTACAAGTGGCCATCTACTGATCAAAAGACATCTAATCAACTACCAAGTTTGCAAACATTGTGTTTTTTTTATCTGTTTGTTTGTTTTGTTCTGTTAGAAATTTAATACAATGGTATGGTTGCTGATGACACGACAAATAAATAGTAGTCTATACGGGATGTAACCAGAGTGTGGACTACTGTGGCCAAGTCAGACTTCCCAAGGTACGGGCACAGCTGGCGCACAAGTTTTAACTTCAAAAGGTTGGAAGTCTCATCTCGAGAAAGAGCATGTGTGCACTCATATCCACAACGATGCACCAAAGTAATTCAAATATCATGCAGATCAAAATTTAAATTACATGCAAATTGGACAAAGTGCAGCACCACCCATCCCTAACCCATGGAATCTCCTCAGAGAAGGATTTTGTGATGTACAAGTTGCCATCAACAGGTTAAAACAAATTAATAGTTTGGGTTGGTTTTTTTTGCAAAACCCAAGAGCATACATGTAGTCAGAAGGAATGTTGCCACACCCATGTGCTAAACCAATCAATTTTTCTCACCACTCTTCCATACGTTTCTCCAGTTCTGGCAGAAGGAACTGCTGGTGAAAGCAGTAAATTGAGCAGATGTTAGCAAAAATGCCCATCACCACGTCAGCAGGGAAAGAGTTTCGGCTGCGTGCTTCCTCCAGTAGACGGGCACAGAAGACCTAGGAGGCAGAACATATTTCAGCCATGTGGGAGGCAGCCCTGCAGCACTAGGCCGTGCCCCACCCACTCCTTCCTCCACAATCTACACTTTAGATCTAAGCCCTTCTGGGCAACTACATTACCAGCGGCTTGTGAAACTGAATCCATAATTCAATAAACAGGGTCAAGCCCATGGCAGAACTCCAACAACATACCATAGGCTTGGCCAGCAAGATTCCTGATCTATATAATGTGAAATGGCTTCAGGAAAGAGGCTACTTTACCTCCACACTTTTAGTTGGGGATTAGGATCAAAATGGGAGAGCTAGGGGAGCCCAAACCTACTGTGAAGGCACAATAGTGTGTTTTGGATATTCTGCACAATCTCTATTACCTGGTCCAAGAGATACAAGCGAGAGACATAGGCCTTTTCTGTTTGGAGAAGTTCATTAGCAATTCGGAAGACTTTCTGTGGTACTGTCATCTGTTGAAGGGGAGAAACGGGAAATATTAGAATTCTGAAAGGAAATGAACAAACTAGTCCCTGCACATGATATTGCAAAACACACCAAACAAACTAAGTATGTGATGTCCAGTGTGACCAAAAGATATCATGGATAGTGGTTCTAAATCAGGGCTCCACAAACTTTCTAAACAGAGGGCCAGGTCACAGTACCTCAAACTGTTGGAGGGCCGGATTGTAATTTGAAAAAACATGAATGAATTCCTATGCACACTGCACATATCTTATTCATAGTGCAAAAAAACCACTTAAAAACAATACAATACTGTATATACTTGAGTATAAGCCTAGTTTTTCAGCCCCTTTTTTTGGGCTGAAAAAAATCCCCTCGGCTTATACTCGAGTCAAGGTTATTTATTATTTTACTCTGCTATTAGTATTATTTTATTACATTTATTATTTTACTCTATTATTATTACATTTACATTATTTTACTCTATTATTATATTTATTGCATTTATTATTTTACTCTATTATTGTTATTATTACAATTATTACTTTATTATTATTACTATTATTATTAAATTTCCATTCTTTACTCTATTATTATTTTATTACATGTTATTACATTTATTTTTTTTACTCGTATTCTATTTTGAAATAGTCATATGACTGGTCAAATAAATATATTATTATTATTATTTTATTCTATCATTATAGGTAAGCACATTTACATTGAAGGAGGTTAGAATAATGGGGGAATCAGAGTTGGGCAGTCTTATCTTATATGACAGTTTTGTGTAAATACTCAAAAACATTTAATCTACTGACGATTACCAGTAGCAGCGACATTTCTCACCCTCAGCTTATACTCGAGTCAATACGTTTTTCCAGTTTTTTGTGGTAAAATTAGGTCCCTCGGCTTATATTCGGGTCGGCTTATACTCAAGTATATACAGTAATTAAAATGAAGAACAATTTTAAAAATATATAAACGTACTAGTATTTCAATGGGAAGTGTGGGCCAGCTTTTGGCTGATGAGATAGGGTTTTTGTTGTTGTTGTATGGTTTCAAGTCATTTCAGACTTAGGTTGACCCTGAATAAGGGCCGGGTAAATGACCTTGGAGGGCCATATTCGGCCTCCGGGCCATAGTTTGAGGACTCCTGCTCTAAATAATGAGTTGGCTAAAATCGGCCTGCCTTTACAATTTCTGAACTAACTAGGACACGGGTCCTCAAACTTTTTAAACAGAGGGCCAGGTCACAGTCCCACAAACTGTTGGAGGGTGGGATTATAATTTGTAAAAAACATGAATGAATTCCTATGCACGCTGCCCGTATCTTATTCGTAGTGCAAAAAACACTTTAAAACAATACAATAATTAAAATGAAGAACAATTCTAATACATATAAGCTTATTAGTATTTCAGTGGGAAGTGTGGGCCTGCTTTTGGCTGATGAGATAGGATTGTTGTTGTTGTGTGCTTCCAAGTCATTTCAGACTTAGGTTGGCCGTGAGCGAGGGCCGGGTAAATGACCTTGGAGGCCCATGTTCAGCCCCCGGGTCTTAGTTTAGGGACCCCTGATCTAGGACCTAAGACAAAACAAGTGCTCATGCAAAGCACTCGAGATATCTATGCTCAATTGAACCTAGCAAGCATAGGTAGGTCTCCTTATTTGGCGATCCCTCGTTGTCCAAGTAGGATAGTCCTCCAAAATCAGTGTACTGGTGGGTCCGTAGGTGACTGTGGAGCCCTATTCTTGATCTGCATTGTCTCCCACAGTGAGGGCATTAGTTTCCAGGTGGAAGGTGGTCTCGGTCGGGGTTGCCTTGACGCGCCTTCCTCTTGGCACGTTTCTCTCTTTCACCCTCTTCATATTCTACAACACTGCTGGTCACAGCTGACCTCCAGCTGGAGCGCTCGAGGGCCAGGGCTTCCCATTTCTCAGTGTCTATGCCAGAGTTTTAAGGTTGGCTTTAAGCCCATCTTTAAATCTCTTTTCCTGCCCACCAACATCCCATTTTCTGTTCTTGAGTTCGGAGTAGAGCAACTGCTTTGGGAGACGGTCCGCTTGTCTACCTAAGAGATTTGCAGGATTTTCCGGAGACAGCGCTGATGGAATCGTTCTAGGAGTTGCATGTGACGTCTGTAGACAGTCCACGTCTTGCAGGCGTATAGCAGTGCTTTATAAACAAGCACTCTGTGCTTCATTCAGAAAAATGATGCACTCGCAGAGTTCAGGCGGTGTTGTATTTCAACGGAGAGGTGGCTGCCAAAGTAGCAGAAATGGTAGGTCTTCTGCCATAAGGTTTTTAGCTCCCCACAAAAGGAATATTTATTTAGAACACTATCTGACTATTCTACTTCCGTTACCCTTAAGAAGAATATATACTAGGGCTAGGTTTGAACAACTCGGTATTATGATGCAAACCAGGCATTACTGTAGCATCCCAAGAAGTGAGAGATTCTGCATTTGGGGAGAACAAACTGTGGAAGATATTGAACATTTCTTAATTGACTGTCCAGCATATACTGAATTGCAAGACAGATATTTACATCCAATATTATCCAACTGCAGGTCCCCCAACAGAAATGATCTTCTGACATTCCTCTTGCAAGGACAGGAAAGATCCACCATAATCAGAGTAAGCCTTTTTATTCCAAAAGCTATCAAGAAAAGACCACATTTCCTGAAAGAAGAACCAGGAAAATAAGACTCTGCCTGTAAATAGAAGGTCAGCTGCTGTCCTCACCTTTTTGCCTTGTCTTTTACTCGTATTTTGAAATGATCATACGACTTGTCAAATCAGTAAATCCAATTTCAAGTATCCATGGAGCCATGTCCTTCCTCATCCACTGCCATTCCAGATGTCTCCTGCCTCAGCTGTTTCTCACCAGTGGTTCTCAACCTGGGGTCACCAGATGTTTTTGGCCTACAACTCCCAGAAATCTCAGCCAGTTTATCAGCTGTTAGGATTTCTGGGAGTTGTAGGCCAAAAGCATCTGGGGACCCCAGGTTGAGAACCAGTGCTTTAGGCCTATTAGTATGCAAAAGGATCTTATTGCACTTTGGAGACTAACCGACAGAACAAGGTTGGTAGAATGAGCTTTTGTAGACTAGATACATCTAAATCAGGCATGGGCAAACTTTGGCCCTCCAGGTGTTTTGGACTTCAGTTCCCACAATTCCCAACAACCAGTAGGAATTGTGTTAAGCTATCAGGAATTGTGGGAGTTGGTCCAAAAGACCTGGAGGGCCAAAGTTTGCCCATGCCTGCTCTAAACAGACAGTTTGTGAAGTTCATGCTACCAAATTTGTTCTCTCAGTTAATCTCCAAAGATGCCTTTGCATAATGATATTCCAAATTAACATGGTTATTTGAATTTGAATTTAGACGTGTTGGAAACACCTGCTGCACCCATTCCTTCATTCAATTTTCAAAACCAAGTGCGTAAGGATGGAATCTGAATTTCCTTTCTCCTCTAAATGAAAATGGAAAGAGTTTTACTACCCTAAAAGGGAAGATGATCAGTCAGTGAAAATATTTCAAGATATATGGGGCTTAGATAAGTGAATGTCAGTCCATTTCAACACTCATTGACACTATGTGTAGCCAATCTTGTACACTAACAATCAGTGTCCAACAGTCCAACATTGATCAAAGGTCTGGGCCAGACTTCTGACATGTGTTTTCTAGCAACAATACGGCTCTGGCCCACGTATCTCCTTCTATGTCCCACCTTGGAGCTTAAGATCTTCTGGGGAGGCCCTGCTCTCGGTCCCACCTCTATCACAAGTAAGGCTAGCGGGGACGAGGGAAAGGGCCTTCTCGGTGGTGGCCCCTCGCCTGTGGAACTCACTTCCTGGGGAAATTAGGTCATCAACATCCCTCCTCTCCTTCAGGAGGAAGTTAAAAACCTGGATGTGGGACCAGGCCTTTGGGTAAGCTGGCAGATGGACAAAGACAAGGACGACCAGAGCAGGAAAGGACAATGACAATGCTGGATGGATTATGGAATTATAAATCGGCGAACACTGGCCACTAGATTGGCTTTTAGTTGTTATTATATTAATTGAATGTTTTAACTTGTGGTTATTTGTTGTTATGTATTTTATCTGTTGAATTGTTGGCATCGAATTGTGCCGGTTGTAAGCCGCCCTGAGTCCCCCCTCGGGGGTTGAGAAGGGCAGGGTAGAAGTGCCTGAAATAAATAAATAAATAAAAAACATGCCTTTGCCTTGTTCCTTGCTCCCTGTAATTTTTCAGAGCTAGACAAATTTCATCCATACCACACCTTTCCTCATGTAGACTTGTGCAGCACACATGGATTTCCTCCTTCCCACTTTATCCTCACTTGTAAACAAGGCCAGGTTTCAAGAAAAAGCAGCTCGCCCAAGCTCATATCTTGCTTTGGTGGCTTGAACCTAGATCTCCCAAGTCCCAGTCCAAAAAACCAAACCATTACACCAACCTGGCTTTAGGGAGGAGCATTAGGCAAGACTCAGGAGGAGCATTAGGCAAGACAGGCAGTTATGGGGGAAATCCCAGACACCATGGTTGTGCCAATGTAGACATCTCACCTCATCAGAGTCCTGTCTCTCTGGCTGTGGGGGTGGAAGGTCATGCAGCAGCTCTGCTTCATCCCCACTCCCATCATCCATGTCACTGTCCCCTTCAGAATCACGTGTTGAGCGGCGTTTGAGGCTGACGGGTGGCACTGGTACCCCTGCTCCCTCTCCAGTGCCTTCATCTCCTCCAAAGCAGATTTCCTCACTGTTGGATGGTGAGCTAATGCTGTCAATGCCACTGTCTCTGTTTGCCAACTTTCCACCATCATGAGAAGGTAAGCAGGCAACGCTCCCTCCAGCTTCTTGTCCTCCTTCCAGTGCCAGGAGGTCCAGCAGTTTGTGAGCCAGCTCTGCCGATTCCAGGGAAGCTGGGTGGTCAACCAAGGGCTCCATTGAGCCAGCCTCTGGTGTTTGGAGATCTGGGCTGGGGCACGGGGAGGGGGCCGGCTCAATGGTAAGGATTACAGGTTCCCTGCAGAGGAAAGAAGGAAGGAGACAAAGTCAATCAAGAGATCAGAACACTTTGGCAAAGAAGTACAGACAGAAAGATAAGAGTTGCGTTGATTCTACCCCTAAAGATGATTGATTATTTTGAAGTATAATTTCCAAAATCCTCCTGACAGCACCATGCCGGAAGGGGGATTCTGGGAACTGTATTTTGAAAAAATTAGATAACAGCTACAGAACGAAATGGAACATTAAGAATTGGTATGGAATTCCCCCCAAAAAAACCTGAATACTATCTATTAGGAATAACAGATGTAGATATAAACAGATGTAGATAATAACAGAATAACAGATGTAGATATAAAACTAGACTTAAATGAAGACATCCTCTTTATTTTTATGAAGACAGCTGCAAGGAATATTTACGCGAAACTCTGGAAGCAGAGGAAAACACCGGATTTGGATCAGTAGCTGACCAAAATAAATGAAATAAAGGCCATGGATAAGTTCACCTTTCTATTAAAGAGAAACTCGGGTAATCCAATTAACTATACAAACTGGTCACAGTTTGAGGAATATGAAGAAAAGAGAAAAAAGAAGAATTATTAAGAATAACAAACCAAGAATAGATACAATGGAAGGTCAAAGTGAAAATATCCCTATATATACACACACACACACACACACACACACACACACACACACGAGGGGTATTTTTTAAGTAAAGTCCGTTTTGTTGTAGACACTAGTAGTTCACACGCATACCGCAACAAGCGCGTGCGTCGTGTACCGGCATGCCTCGGGAACAACTGTGCTCAGTTTCCGCTCTGTAGCTAACCTGTACGGTTCTGTTCTGTGCTTTAAAAATGTTTAAGACTATCAACTCACCCGCCGCATGTGAGGTTCACTCAGTGATACGGTTTTTGTCAGCAAGGAACCTGCCTGCTGCAGAAATTCATCGACAGATTTGTGAAGTGTACGGTGATACTGTTATGAGTGAAAGCAAAGTGCGTAAGTGGGTACGACAATTCAAAGATGGCCGTGACAACGTCCATGATGAGGACTGCTCCGGTCGCCCTTCTTTGATTACAGTGAACTCTTGGTTATCGGAACAGGTGGCAAGTTTTTATGAAGAGGGTATTTTAAAATTGGTTCAGAGGTATGATAAGTGTTTGAACAAATTTGGCAACTATGTCGAAAAATAGTATGTACTTTCTGAAAATAAATTTACTTTTTTGAAATAAACTTTTGTTGTGTACTTATGTTCAAACGGACCTTACTTAAAAAACACCCCTCGTGTATGTATGTGTGTTTGTGTGTGTGTGTGTGTGTATATATATGCTATATTTGCTTTTCCATTACTAACTACTATTTTGAAGATCGCGGTAGGAACAAATGTTAACCCGCAAAAGATTAGATGGAAGTCACCTTGTTTATTTTATTTTTATTTTACTTAATTTTTTAATTTTTTGAACCTTTTCATTTTTTCCCCAATTTTTCTTTGTATTTCTTTTTGGTACCCCCTTCCCTCCTTTCTGTTTCCTTTTTTCCTACTTTCTATTGCCGAATTGTTTCCCCACTTTACATGGAACCTTGAATGCTTTTTCTTTCTCCATTATTCTAAATAAAATTAAAATTAAAATAAATAAATAAAAGAATTGGTACGCTTCATCAGCTCAATGAGGCATCCCATTTTCTGACTCAGAGGCTTCAGGAAGTTAAAAAAGTAGGAGCAAAGTTCAATCCTTCCAGGTGTTGGACTACAATTATCATGTCTCCACATCAGCTATGTAGTCAAAATACTTCTGGAGGGAACCATGTGTTCACCCAACCCTCCTGTGGAAGTATCTATATCAGAGGTCCTCAAACTTTTTACACAGAGGGCCAGGTCACAGTCCCTCAAACTGTTGGAGGGCTGGATTATAATCTGAAAAAAATGAATGAATTCCTATGGATATTGCATATATCTTATTTGTAGGGCAAAAAAAAAATCAAAACAAACAAATAATCAAAATTAGTAACAATTTTAACAAATATAAACTTATTAGTATTTCAATGGGAAGTTTGGGCCTGCTTTTGGATGATGAGATAGGATTGTTGTTGTTGTATGCTTTCAAGTCATTTCAGACTTAGGTTGACCCTGAGCGAGGGCCGGGTAAATGACCTTGGAGGGCCGTATCTGGCCCTCGGGCCTTAGTTTGAGGACCCCTGCTCTATATGGTGGAGATGTGTGACTTAAGGGGAGCAGTGGCTACTTTCCCAGCTGTAGGAGGTAAGCAGAATACCCTGAGCTATTGAGCAATGCACCTTTCAAACTTCTCGATGAGGCAGGAGACAGCAGAGAGTGGCCCCGATCCATCTTTTGGCAGGGGGCTCCGGCTCAGACGGGGATCAGCTGGAAGGGGTCGCGATGGAGGTGGCGGGATGGATTCAGGCAGTCGTAGTGGATGGAGAGTCTGCAGATAAGCTGGTTTGGGAGGGACTGGAAAAAGGGAACAAACAATTGCCTCTTTTTGCATGTGCAGCTTGAGCATCCCTTATTCAGAATTTCAAAACCCATAATACTCCAAAATCTAAAAATTATCGAGACAGTTGACATCTTTGCTTTCTGATACTTTAGTGTACACAAAACTTGTTTCATGCACAAAAATATTTTAAAATAATTCATAAGTTTACCTTTAGACTATTCATATGATGTCTAAATGAAGTATCAATGAATGTAATGTATTGTCAAAGGCTTTCATGGCCGGAATCACTGGGTTGTTGTAGGTTTTTTGGGCTATATGGCAATGTTCTAGATGCATTCTTTCCTGATGTTTCGCCTGCATCTATGGCAAGCATCCTCAGAGGTTGTGAGGTCTGTTGGAACTAGGAAAAAGGGTTTATATACCTGTTGAATGACCAGGATGGGACAAAGAACTCTTGTCTGCCGGAGCTAGGTGTGAATGTTTCAACTGACCACCTTGATTAGCATTTGATGGCCTGGCAGTGCCAGGGACAATCTTTTGTTGAGAGGTGATTAGATGTCCCAGATTGTTTCTTCTCTGTTGTTTTGCTGTTGTAATTTTAGAATTTTTTAGTACTTGTAGCCAGATTTTGTTCATTTTCATGGTTGTTATTATTATTATTATTATTATTATTATTATTATTATTATTATTGTTATTATTTCGCGCATTTCTACCCCGCCCTTCTCAACCCTCGAGGGGGGACTCAAGGCGGCTTACAAAAGGCACAATTCTATGCCAACAACAGACAAAAAGATAAAACATGTAGCAACAGCAATTATAAAACAATTAAAACAATCAAGTTATACATCACAATCAATAAAAACCAATCTAATGTTCAACGTTTGGCAGCTCAGAATCCGTAAGTTCATTCCACATTGTCAAATCCTATCACTTCTAGTCGTCATTGTCCTTTGTCTATCTGCCAGATTACCCAAAGGCCTGGTCCTATATCCATGTTTTTAGTTTCCTTCTAAAAGAGAGGAGGGATGTCGATGACCTAATTTCCCCGGAAAGTGAATTCCACAGGCGAGGGGCCACCACCGAGAAGGCCCTGCTCCTCGTCCCCACCAATCTCACTTGTGATAGAGGTAGGGCCGAGAGCAGGATCCCCCCAGAAGATCTTAATCTCCGAGGTGGGACGTAGAAGGAGATGCGTTCGGACAGGTACGCTGGGCCGGAGCCGTATAGGGTTTTGTAGGTCAAAACCAGCACTTTGAATTGTGCTCGGAACTGGATCAGCAGCCAGTGGAGCTGACATAACAGAGGGGTGGTATGCTCCCTGTATGACGCTCCGGTGAGTAATCTGGCTGCCGCCCGCTGGACTAATTGAAGTTTCCGAACAGTCTTCAAAGGCAACCCCACGTAGAGTGCGTTGCAGTAATCTGTTCGGGATGTAACAAGAGCGTGGACCACTGTTTCCTCCTTTCTGTTGAAATTGTCCACATGCTTGTGGATTTCAATGGCTTCTCTGTGTAATCTGACATGGTGGTTGTTTGAGTGGTCCAGCATTTCCACCCTGGTCATTCCACAGATATATAAATCCTTTTTCCTAGTTCCAACAGACCTCACAACCTCTGAGGATGCTTGCCATAAATGCAGGCGAAACGTCAGGAGAGAATGCCTCTAGAACATGAACATATAGCCCAAAAAAACCTACAACAACCCAATGAATGTAATGTTTAGACTTGGGTCCCACCTCCAAGATATCTCATGTATGTATGTGCAAATGCAAGTATTCAAAAAATAAATAAATTAAAAATCCAAAATTCAAAGCACTTCTGCTTCCAAGCATTTCTGATAAGGGATGCTCAATCTGTCCTAAAATGTCAGTAACCCATTCCATCCTGCATAACTTCAGTCAGCTCGTGGTAACATTTCAAAAACTTAAAACAATTTAAAATTTCAAACAGCTCAAAATATTTTAATATTTTTAAGGATATAAAAGAATGTTAAATGATAAAAACAGATCAAAATCATGTATGTGTACATTTGGATGATCATAGAATGATATAATCATAGAATCAAAGAGTTGGAAGAGACCTCATGGGCCATCCAGTCCAACCCCCTACCAAGAAGCAGGAATATTGCATTCAAATCACCCCTGACAGATGGCCATCCAGCCTCTGTTTAAAAGCTTCCAAAGAAGGAGCCTCCACCACACTCCGGGGCAGAGAGTTCCACCACTGAATGACTCTTACAGTCAGGAAGTTCTTCCTCATGTTCAGATAGAATATCTTCTCTTGTAGTTTGAAGCCATTGTTTCGCGTCCTAGTCTCCAGGGAAGCAGAAAACAAGCTTGCTCCCTCCTCCCTGTGGCTTCCTCTCACATATTTATACATGGCTATCATATCTCCTCTCAGCCTTTTCTTCTTCAGGCTAAACATGCCCAGCTCCTTAAGCCGCCCCTCATAGGGCTTGTTCTCCAGACCCTTGATCATTTTAGTCGCCCTCCTCTGGACACATTCCAGCTTGTCAATATCTTTCTTGAATTGTGGTGCCCAGAATTGGACACAATATTCCAGGTGTGGTCTAACCAAGGCAGAATAGAGGGGTAGCATGACTTCCCTAGATCTAGACACTATGCTCCTATTGATGCAGGCCAAAATTGGCTTTTTTTGCCGCCACATGACATTGTTGGCTCATGTTTAACTTGTTGTCCACGATGATTCCAAGATCTTTTTCACACGTACTGCTCTCGAGCCAGGCATTGTCCCCCATTCTGTATTTTTGCATTTCGATTTTCCTGCCAAAGTGGAGTATCTTGCATTTGTCACTGTTGAACTTCATTCACCTTTTAAATCTTCAATTGTGTTAACAAACCTTGCTGACCTCAAATGCAGCAAGCAGGGATCCTAGAAGGAAGGTAATCTGCAATTCTCTCCCCATGTAGTATACACAAAGGGGGGGGGGGTCTACAGTAGATCTCAGACCTCAAGAAAGCATACGCAGGGAGCCATATTCCTTTAATTATCAACACCCCAGGTTGTTTAGAGCTCCCAACGTTATCGCCAGCATTTGGATTCAGTCCAGAAACTTATTGGCAGAAGCATACTAGCAGCCGGTATTATATAGCGCCTTCATGATATTCCAATCAGGAATCTGGCAGCTTTATTCCCCAGCACCAGCTGAGGTTTCATATTCAAGAGCAGCTCCACATTGAGTGCCCTCATCAGACATTATGCACAAAATCTCAGCAAAGGCTGACGTCTCTCCCAGTTGCTCTCAGCTTTTAGAAAAGGTGCTAAGACACATCACTTCAACTTGGCCTTTAAAAATTATTTCTAGCAGTGTTGCTGTTTCTGATGTGTTCTTTTATATAAGGTTTGAGTGTCTTTGTGACACTGCATTTATTGCCTGGGTGAGTCTCCTGCCTTTGCGGATATTACAGGAAGACAACATTAAAAGCCTAAAAATAAATGATGAATCATGAGAAAACAGCCCTTGAGATCAACTTGGGTATCATCACAAAAAGGTTGAAATGGGTAAAAACCTTATGTTGCCCATATGTGAATAACAACAACAAAGTATGTGATTGGCATCTTGCTCATCAGAGAGTTCTACCTCACATCATCCTACTGAGCGCTCCAGGAGCTGGACATCGCCTGCACCTCTTATGTTCACTCTCCTTTTGGAGAAAAAAGGTCTAAATGCGATATTATTCTACGATGTACCAAGGACCAAAGGAGCCTGAGATGCATTATTTTGTATTTTGTATTCTATTCAAAGCTGTTTTTGTAATCAAAATTGGCTGTAAAGCACATGGAAAGGTAACAAAGAGTGGAAGGTGCAGCCTACACACCAACTCTCCTCAGCAGCAGCTGCACCTAGCTGCCCCCTCTCTCCAACAGCCAGCAAGTAGGAGGTGAAAGGGAGGCCAGGAGACTTCAGCTCCTCCAGAGTGGAAGGTGCAGCCTACACACCAACTCTCCTCAGCAGCAGCTACACCTCGCTGCCCACTCCTCCAACAGCCAGCAAGGAGGAGGTGAAAGGAGGTCAGGAGACTTCATCTCCTCCAGAGTGGAAGGTGCAGCCTACACACCAACTCTCCTCAGCAGCAGCTACACCTCGCTGCCCACTCCTCCAACAGCCAGCAAGGAGAAGGTGAAAAGGAGGCCAAGAGACTTCATCTCCTCCAGAGTGGAAGATGCAGCCTACACACCAACTCTCCTCAGCAGCAGCTACACCTCGCTGCCCACTCCCTCCAACAGCCAGCAAGGAGGAGGTGAAAGGAAGGCCAGGAGACTTCAGCTCCTCCAGAGTGGAAGGTGCAGCCTACATACCAACTCTCCTCAGCAGCAGCTACACCTAGCTGCCCCCTCCCTCCAACAGCCAGCAAGGAGGAGGTGAAAAGGAGGCCAAGAGACTTCAACTCCTCCAGAGTGGAAGGTGCAGCCTACAAACCAATTCTCCTCAGGGGCAGCTGCACTTCGTTGCCCTTCCCCATCCTCAGTCTACTGGCAAGTGATAGAGCTCACACCTGACTTATGGCACCACAACTGATAAAATCAATGTTCTTCTGGACTTTTATGAAACTGATCAGTAGCCTACTACCATCATCAGATAAGACTCTCCCTCCACCCGCCCCAAGGACCTCATATCACATTTACCATACCCCAAGAAGACACCCCTCCCCCAAATTTTGTATTCAATCTGTACCTAAATAACTTTGTGTTTGTTGGTGTGTGTGTGTGTGTGGGGGGGGGGGGCAGGGAAGGTGTAAAAAGGTCTGAAATGCTATGGAGAGAGAGTTGGGGAGTGGAGGGGGGAAGAGAAGGGGTCTACATTGCTAATTGCACCAATAATATGCTTCATGCTTATGTCTATGTTTGATTTTTTTATAGTTTTAACGGTTTTTATCTACAGTTATGTTATGATTTAGATATGTGATTTATATATATATATGAGGCATTGAATTTGCCATTTATTATGTTGTAAACCACTTTGAGTCCCTCCCAGGGATGAGAAAAGCGGTATAGAAATGTAGATAATAATAATAATAATAATAATAATAATAATAATAATAATAATAATAATAATAATAAGTAATTTACATAATTGTCTCCTTAATATCAATAAGGACACTTTCCTTATACCAGTGCTACTCACAATTCTAGTCCCTGGAGCAGTCCTAGTCCCAAATCATTGGTTTTAAGTCAGGTTTTGGTACATTTCCAGTAAACAAGAGCAACCAATGGGAACAAATACAGTGTCAGTTCCTGGCACACTTGTGGAGGGGTGTGTGTGAAAAATGCTCTGTCTGCCACATCAGACAGACTGAGAAACATTGCCCTCTAGCACAGTGTACAAGGTTGGAAACAGAAGAAATGACTGCTTTGCCAAAACTATGCTTATGCATTGGAAACATCTTTAAATAGCCTACTAACATTGGGATTAGTGGGAATGATGAACCTAGCTTAGCCTTCCCACTATCCCCACCACACAATGGTCTTGACAGCTGGGGATGGTGGGGGTTATGGTCCAGGACCCTTGGAAGGAGGGTGAAAGGCCAAGGGAGCTTCTACCTTGTGGTTTTGGTCCTGGGTTTCGTTTCAGTGGTCTGAGCTTGGCTGCTTCTCCTTGGATGTTGTCAGGTCCTGGGTCAGAGATGAGGCGTTGGGGGGCTTCTGGAGAGCGAGGTTCTGGGCTGGGTTCCAAGGAAAGACTCTTGACCAGGAGCCGTGGGGGATGAGCAGGACCTGGAAGGAAGATCAAATAGCGAAAATGAGATTAATCCAACCCAACTTTGCACCATTTTAGCAGGCTTTGGTTTTCCCAGGTGAATTAGTGTAGTGCATTGCAATGATTTGACTGCTGGAACAGAATGAGAAACCACAGCTCAAATCTCTGCTCAGCCATAGAAACTCTCTGGGTGACCTTGGGCAAGCCACACACTCTCAGCATCAGGAGAAAAAAAAAGGCAAACCTCTCTGGATGAAATTTCGAGAAAAAAACCTCATGCTAGAATCACTGTACAGTTCTCATGAGTTGGAATTGACTTGAAAGCACACAACAAAACGATTCCCAGAGTTGAAGATGTTACTTTTTTTAAAGCTTTAGCTCCCCAAAATCTACCAACTAACATGGCTGTGCTCAATGGAAGATTCCAAAATCTATAGCAACAACAAAAAACTCCAACTTTTCCCAAGATCTGAGTAGTTTTCTTTTTCAGTTTGACCAAGAGACAACAAGAACAGCGGCAGGAAACCTGGAAGAGCTTTGGCATTGTCATATGATTTCTAGAGGAAAAATCTTCTAGTTTTTTAACTCTCTAGACTTATTTTCTGTTGGTCATGGAGGTTCTGTGTGGGAAGTTTGGCCCAATTCTATCATTGGTGGGGCTCAGAATGCTCTTTGATTGGAGGTGAACTATAAATCCCAACAACTACAACTCCCAAATCTCAAGGTCTTTTTCCCCGTAACTCCATCAGTGTTCACATTTGGCTGTATTGAGTATTCATGCCAAGTTTGGTCCATATGTATCATTGTTTGAGTCCACAGTGCTCTCTGGATGGAGGTGAACTACAACAACAACAAAACTCAAGGTCAGTGCCCACCAAACCCTTCCAATATTTTCTGGTAGTCATGGGAGTTCTGTGTGCCAAATTCAGTTGCATTCAGTGGAGTTCAGAATGCTCTTTGATTGTAGGTGAACAATAAATCCCAGCTACTACAACTCCCAAATGGCAAAATCAATCCACTCCCAAACCCACCAGTATTCAAATCTGGGTATATTGGGTATTTGTGCCAAATTTGGTCCAGTGAATGAAATACATCCTGCATATCAGATGTTTACATGATGATTCATAACACTAGCAACATTACAGTAATGAAGTAGCAACAAAAGTAATGTTATGGTAGGGGGTCATCACACCATGAGGAACTGTATTAAGGGGTTGTGGCATTAGGAAGGTTGAAAAACACTGCTCTAGGTGGTCCCAAGAACCACATTTAGGGGTTTCAAGGGGCTCAGGAAGCCTGCAGCTTGGACTGTGACCACCCTTGGATCAGAGAATAGTTGTCTGACCAAAAAGGGACATATGCACAAGCAAGATATTTGTTTATCACTGACAGGTCATTCCTGAAAAGGTATGGCATCATTTGGGGTTGTACGTTGGGATGCTGTGATGACCCACAACATTTCCCCGCATCCTATCATAGCTATAAAAATATCATAAATATAAAACTTCTACCAACTGGAGATCCACAAATCAGAGAAAGGGACTGAAGCCATTGAGATACAGCAAGACTCTTAGGGTCCAAATGACACACTCTCTGACCAGAACTGAATAAAGTTTACAGTCCTTCCACACATACAAAATGAATTCATCACTGTTCTCTGTTTCTCTTTTCAGCAGGACACTTTAGGGCAGGGGGCTAGTCATTTTGGTGCTACCAACTGGTGTCCGTAGGGACACCAAGGTGTTTGTTTATAAAGCTATTGTCCTCCCAACCCTGCTATACGCCTGCGAGACGTGGACAGCAGTCTACAGACGTCACATGCAAATCCTAGAACGATTCCATCAGCGCTGCCGCTGGATAATCCTGCAAATCTCTTGGGAAGACAAGCAGACAAATGTCAGCATGCTGGAAGAAGCAAAGACCGCCAACATTGAAGCGATGGTTCTCCGCCATCAACTCCGCTGGACTGGTCATGTTGTCCGGATGCCTTACCACCATCTCCCAAAGCAATTGCTCTGCTCCGAACTCAAGAACGGAAAACGGAATGTTGGCGTGCAGGAAAAGAGATTGAAAGATGGGCTCAAAGCCAACCTTAAAAACTCTGGCATAGACATTGAGAACTGGGAAGTCCTGGCCCTTGAGTGCTGCAGCTGGAGGTCAGCTGTGACCAGCAGTGCTGTAGAATTTGAAGAGGCACAGATGGAGGGCGGAAGAGAGAAACGTGCCAAGAGGAAGGCGCATCAAGGCAACCCCAACCGGGACCGCCTTCCACCTGGAAACTGATGCCCTCACTGCAGGAGAAGATGCAGATCAAGAATAGGGCTCCACAGTCACCTACGGACCCACCAGTACACTGATCCTGGAAGACTATCTTACTCGGACAACGAGGGATGGCCTAAGTAAAACCAATGATTTTCAAAATTTAGATTTAGACAGCCCCAATTGTTTTAAAATTGAGATTTAGACAGCTCGGTAGTCTGCTGTAAATCACCCAGCAACCTACCAGCCATTCCATTTGACCTTCTGCTGCTCCATGTTTATTTATTTATTTATTTTTTGCTAACAACCTACACAAATACACAAATCTTTTCAGACATATTACATAGAATCCATTCCTCTCTTTTCCTACTAAGGTGAGGAGAGAATTGTATCTTCTTAGGAGTTCACTTCAGGAGTGAGTGCTGTGGGCTGTATATCTAACTATTGTATCTATTTCAAGGCTGAGTATCTCAAGGCTACATGCACTATTTTTGTTATGTAAATAGCAACTACATTTAAGTTTCTCTCCCTGTTTCTTTGAAGCTGTTCCATGATGCTGACAAAAACTCTCTGAGATGCAGCTATTTACATTTCAAAAGACACTTCGATTGACACCAATGGAATTGCCTCTCAAAATATAAATACAGGAAAGTAACTGGGTTTTTATTGTTGCTGTTGGCTATACATATAAGGGATTGGGGGGAAAAAATCAAACTTTCCCTCTGGCTCCCAAGGTTATTCAGTGTCTGTCAGGGTTGCTGGTCAAAAAAGTGTGTACCCGACTCCTCCTTCAATCAATACCTTGACTAATTTGCAGTTATTTTTCACCACAATAGGTATAAGAACAAACATGAATCATTTAAAAGGAAGATTGGCTTGGAACAAATGTACAGTGAGTGGGCCCTTGGTATCCACTGGGGTTTGGTTCCAGGACCCTTTTGGATAGCAAAATGTGTGGATGCTCAAGTCCCATGATAAGCAATGGCATTTAAAATGCTGCTCCTCATACAAATTGACAAAATCAAGAACTGCTTTTAGATATAGATAGATCGATATATACTATATTTTCTGGCATATAAAACGATTGGGCGTATAAGACGACCCCCAGCTTATCCAGTTAAAATATAGAGTTTGGGATATACTCGCCGTATAAGACTACCCCTCTTCCAACGCACACCAAATAAAATTTAAAAAACATCAGATTTGATTTCAATATGGTAAACTTCCTATTACCATACCTCCTTCTCTGCCTCTCAGATCTCGCACCTGCGCACCTGCACCACTTCACTGCAGTCTTCAGGAGCGAGATCTGAGAGGCAGAGGAGGAGGGACAGTAATAGGATATAAGGGCAGGCCAGACAGGTAAAAGAAGTGTTTTTTTCTGGGCCCAGAGCCACTCTATCTCTTCTTTCCATACCCCGGGCACCCCGGACGCCTGCAGCTTGCTCCACCCTTCACTTACACCTTCCCGGTGAGGAGCCCCTTCACCTCACCATCGGGACCACATTAAGTCCACGAATCCTGATTAATGGATTTTCTTCTACCGTACTTGTACAGCGTTGCCCTTAATACTTTCATACAGTTGCTGCATACGCCAGGGACGCGGCCACTGCCATTTTTGAGCACCCCCCACCATATGCTGCAACCACAGATTCTCCAATCCGGATTGGAAGTTTCAGCACCCGCTTTATAAGATGACTCCCAGTGTATAAGACTACTCCCGGATATAAGACGACTCCCATGCATGAGGCTACTCCTGCGCATAAGATGACTCCTGTGTATAAGATGACCCCTGACTGTTGAGAAGATTTTCTTGGGTTAAAAAGTAGTCTTATACATCAGAATATACGGTAATTTGAAGTTATTTTTCAACAAAATAGGTTTAAGAACAAAAACGAATCATTTAACAGGAAGATCAGCTTGGAACAAATGTACAGTGAATGGGTCCTTAGTATCCACTGGGGTTTGGTTCCAGGACCCTTGTGCATAGCAAAATGTGTGGATGCTCAAGTCCCATGATAAGCAATGGTATTTAAAATACTGCTCCTTATATAAATTTGCAAAATCAAGGACTGCTTATATATATATATATGATTGAATCTATGGTACAGGAGACCAACTGAATCCTGTGAGCCAAACTACCTCACCCCACAAAATACACTATGCAAACCCAATCTAAATATTTCCAGGTTAATCATTCTAACTTTTTACTTAATCTGCTAGACTACTACTCCCAAATGAGATCTGTCAAGTACACATCGAGAAAGCTCTACCTCTTCTAATATCATAGTCTGAATTTGCTTATACACAGTAGTGTATATGCAAATTTACGGGCAGTGCCCCAGTTACAAACCTCAAACTTATAAACAACTCATAGTTAAGAACAGGTGTGAGACAACAGGAAATGAGAGCAATCTACCCCTTGGAAAGAAATTTCACTCCTGAAAGAGTTATCTTAGGGCAGTAGTACTCAACCTGTGGGTCCCCAGATGTTTTGGCCTTCAGCTCACAGAAATTCTAACAGCTGGTAAACTGACTGGGATTTCTTGTTGTAGGCCAAAACACTTGGAGACCCACAGATTGAGAACCACTGTCTTAGGGAAAAGGTGTCTCCATTGAAGCTTTATCAATCAACCCTTGTTTCCACAACAAGCCATTTTTTTTTTCAAAATCCCATTCTCACAGAGACAGGAGCCCCCCATGGTGCAGCGGGCCAAGCTCCTGTGCTGGCAGGATTGAAGACCGACAGGTTGCAGGT